AACACCAGACAATGAAATTACCCTGCCACAAAGCAGGGTTGCTAAAGTAAATACTCTGCCAGCGGCAGGCCTGAAAGCAGGATGGGGTCATATGTGAGGTGCAAGCAAATGATGAAATGGCACTTCTGCCTCTGAGGACCTGTGAGTGCTGCCAGCACGTGGACCCTCATGCCCTGGGTCCCCCACACCGGCAGCTCTCTGGGACACATGGGCACATTCAAGCTGGGCTCCAATGTAGTGAGGGACTTGCTGGACCCAGGGCTGAGCCAAGGAGCAGTTCACCCTTTGCTGTCCAGGCAAATAATTTGGTTGGAAAGGGGTAACAGATGTGTAAAGTGGGGATGGGCTGGTTGCTTTTCTTCTGGAGACAGAGGCTCTTGGCAGGGCCCTTCAGTTTTTCCCAGGTTGGTGGCAAATGATTTCTAAATCTTTGGTCTGTGCTGCTGAGATCTGTGTGAGCTATAGAACAGGTTGTGCCTGCACATGCAGAAGGGGAGTGCCTTTTTTTGGGAGACATAGAGGGCAGCTCATGGAAGAGGAAGGACAGGAGGGCAAAGTTTTCTGTTTTCATTCCATGCGTCTTGTACAGGAGACAGGAGTTACTGTGCCAAGCGTGTTGCAGATGCCAAAAAACTGGCAGAGAGCAGCAAATGGGGATGTTCTTGTATGTATCAAGGTATCTGGCAATGGGCTGCCATTGTGTGGTGTCAGACTAGATCCTCACCACAATTGAAAGGTTTAGTGAGTCTGTGTTAAAAAAAAAAACAAACAAATGTACTGTTGGTACAAAAAACACTTCTCTATGCAGCCATGGAGGGATCTGCTGAAGACCTCACTGCTGTTCCAGGAGGACCTGCTGCCATGTGCATTGTCCTTCCGATTTATGATGGCAATACTCTGATGTGCACACTTCAATAGGGCATTTTCCCTTGTTGCATAGTGTTAGCAGCTGCCGAATGGAGAAATCCCACACGAGAAGGGACCAAGACATGGAAACTGCTTTCTGTCCCTTTGGAAAAGACAGTTACACCATTCTTATTGCTGAGCTAGATCTGAGTGCTTTTTGGAATTCAAGGATCAGTTCTGGAGTGGACATTTTAGGACCATAGTTATTTAATACATTACTTATCTGTAAAAAGTGGTGGACCAGTAGTGAAGTGTTCAAGCGTGCAGATATCACACACTTGCTTAGGTTAGGCTACAGAAAAGAGTGAGGAGCATTTAAAGGGCTGTATCTAGATTACAGAAAACATTATGTCAGATCAGTGCAGTACTGAAAAGCAGTAAACATTGGAAGAGGAAACATGAACTATTTCTACATAATTCTATGTCCTAAATTAACTGCAGCTCTTCTGGAGGGAGGACTGTGTGTCTCAGAGGATCTCCCAGATAAAACATCTGCTGAAATGCCTCATGTCACTCCAAAAGCAAACAAAATATTAAGCTTAGGGAAGACTGGAATGCAAAAGCATTCTGCAAATAGTGTAAAATAAGTCTAGGGAATATCCTCATGTTTAACTCTTTCTAGGTCAGTTCAGCCTGTCTCCAAGCAGTCATGTCAGAAAGAGGAGTTGTAGGGTCAGGCAATGGAAGTGGATTGAAACATCCGTGGGGTGGTACACTGAGAAGGCATAAGGTGCTACAGACATGGGAGAACAGGGCAGAGACACAAAAATAGCTTGTGCTAAAGGAAAGGTGATTCAAGCACTTCCATCTTCACCTCTAGACCAATTTGTGTAAACATGAGGTGAGAAGTAACAAATTTAAACATGATGAAGGAAAATCAGGCTTTAAACAACTGAGTTAAGATGCTATTCAAAGCAGAAGGTTGTCTATGGAACTCTGTGCCACAACATGTGATTGAAGTCAAGATCTCACCTTGTCTTAAAAAATTGACATGTTTATGTTAAGGAAGAGAGGAGTTTCACATGTTAGATACAGGTCTATATGCAGAGGGATGTATGCATCCCTAACTGAGCATGAAGAACAATGTCCACCCAAGAGAGGTTCAGAGGTATTTTATCAGTGGACGAGTTCTTTCATTGCAAAACTTGTAGCATCCTCCACCAAAATTGGCATTGGCCATCTCAGACAGGCAGACCACTACTGCCTCTATTGACTCCAACTCTCTCTTTCACACAGCAGACAAGGAGGTGTCTGCTGGCTAAAAATCTGGGAACCTGTGTGGTGTCCAATACCTGTTGTTCTTGGGCTGTCCTAATGACTGCTTAATTAAGTTAACAAGATCTTTTTGTCTCAGGGCCACTCCCTGTCCATGGAAAAATCCTAGTTATGACATGAAGTCTGGGAGGAAGGTGCAGCAAGTGGTGTACGCAGGGCACCATATCACTTAGATCTGGCCCCCTTCTCACAGATGTTCTCATCACTGTTCCAAAATGATCATCTGTTTGGGACTTAACGGGCAAAGATTGCAACTAACATTTAGGCTCAATTGTGTAATGCGAATACAGCTTTCAATAAAGTAAAATAAAATAAAACTATCTCACCATCTCCCCTCCCTAAAAGGATAGGTCTGGTTTAATAGAATGAATGGTGTTCCGTTTAGTTGCATTTTATGTGTTTAAATAATATGGGCACTGGCTTGTGCTTTTCTTCCCAGCAGCAGAGATGCAAAACTTCTTTTGCGTGTAGAAAAGAAATTGTCTCCTAATCACTGCATTCCAGAAAGTGCAGCTTTAAGGAAAACCCACTGGACAGCCAAAGACTCAGGAGAAAAAAAAAAATAGAAATATTGGAGCCTAAAATTCTAGGTCATCCCTTCTTGCCGGGGTCTGGAGGTGTTGGCAGCATAAGTGTGGGGAGAGAGGGAGGGAGATGTGTGCTGCATACGAAAGCTGTGCAAGCGATTTTTATAAACAGGGAGTTTTTTCCACAAAATAACATCGGGAATATCCCACCGATAGTGCACCCCTCCACTCCCTCCACTTGAGTTAGGGGGAGGGATTTGAAGTTGGGGGGGGGGGCGATGCGTGGCTGAGCTCCCATTAGTGACCAGGGGCATTTCGTTCACAAAGTGGAAGGCAGACAGGGAGAGGCAGATGGCTTTGAATGCAGGATTTACATAGTAATGAGATTCAGGTCACCATAGCTGTCTTTTTTTCTCTGCATTTTGTCTAGGTGTCGAGTAGTGTGCAGGGATGACAGGGATGATGGAAAAGGGAGAAAGGGAGGAAAATTAACCCCTTCCTCATAAGGAGAAATTGGTGTTAGAAAAAAAAAATTGTCACAGTGGGCTGAAGAACAGCAGAGTATGACAACAAACACAGATGTAGCTAGGAGGGCTAAAGGTAGCCACTTTTTAAGTTTCTGGCTTATTTTTTGTGGTAATGACACAAAGTATTCTAACTTTAGAATCCCAGAATTTCCTGAAATTTTTACATTCTGCATTGCTGGTTTGAGAATAGATATTTTGGGGCTTTTATTTTTACAGGTCAACCGAAAGTTGTGGAAGTTTGTGGACTGAAAATGGGGCATGGCTTCTTACTACAAGGCCTTTGCTTCTTTCTTTGGAAAAAATTACCCATTTTGCTTGGTTTCTTGGCTAAAGACTTGTCTTCACATGATTGTAGTGGTGTGATTAAAACATAATATTTTCCACTGCAATTGGTAATTCTTAGTATGATCTCACTACTGTCAGATCTTATCCTGATGACAGATGGGAAACTGGGAACCATGGGTCCTATTTCAAGCTTCGGATGGTGGCACTTGATTTGCTAAATAGTCAACCCCAGGCATTCCCAAGATATGCATCAGGGCCCAAGAAATCTCAAGGCTATATTTAAAATTATGAAAGTTTTAAAGCAGTGTGCATTTCTTTTCTCTGTCTTCTTTTTTTTCTTTATAGTTAGAGGAGTGTGGGAAAGGAAGTTACTCTTTCTGCTGTACATCACCTGACTCCAGAAGCTGGGGCTCTAGAAATGTTGCAAAAAGAGCAGGAGAGAAGCTTTCGGTGATCCCAGTGTAGAGTAGAAACTATGTCACTGAACTGCATGTGGACATTTAGGCAGAGGTGGGAAAAGTAGGGAAGGTGTTTGTGTGTGTATAAGGTTTTCAGTATTTGTAAAATCCTTTTCATTCTTCCACAAAGAAGTTGTTTTTGAAACAGAGCATTTGGGGCACTAAGGTCAGGATTCATCTCATCTCACCTTGGCCACTGGAGTTGAGCGAGCTTGTCTAACCTCGTCATACAGACCTTTTCAGCATCAGTGAAGAAGGATTCAAACTATCCCAAGCAGTGGGACAGATTCCCCTTGGAAGGGGAGGGGCAGAGGTGCTTTGGTGGCATCTCCTGAAGCCGACAATAAATGCATAGTCAGAGTGCCACTGCATTTTGACTGTTTGGGCTGAAAAGGAAAAGCAAATCTAATCAGGTGCCTGGGACAGACTGGGAAAGGAAGACTTTATGGCTACTTCCTCCTGAGGAAAAAGCTTAGGTCTAATAGATCTAATTACGTTATTCTCTGATTTATTGTTACAGCCATTTGTTTAAAAAGTCAGTAATCCTTTTATACCAGTCCTATAATGATTATTTCATGTCTGGCTGTTCGTGAACCCACCAATCTGTGTGAACGGAGGATGCTTCACCATGGGGAATCTGCTCAGTTCTCCACAGGACAGTGAGCTGGGCCTGAGAGCCTCGAGTTGGGGCCTTAAGTGGGTGGCTTCAAATTCCCACTTGCTGAATGAAAATAACAGTGGTTACATAAACCCACTACACTCTCCTTTACAAAATGCTGCAAAACATAGGGCTGTCTTTTGGCTGTATACAGCCATAGTACTCCTCTGCAAGGATAAATATTCACCAACTAATGTTTGGTTAGCAGGCACTTTGCCGGTAGCCAGTGGGTCCCTCAGCTCTGTCAGAGCAGTGACACTTGTTGGCCACAGCTCCATGGGTGTCCCAATCAGCACCAGCCACCCTATGCCAGCTGAGTGGGTCTGCTCCCCTTGCTGATGTTTTCTAACCTCTTCCTTTGCAGAGCCCCTGAAATCATCCTTGGTTTACCATTTTGTGAAGCAATCGATATGTGGTCGTTGGGATGTGTCATTGCAGAGCTGTTCTTGGGCTGGCCGTTATACCCGGGAGCTTCGGAGTATGATCAGGTGGGTATGGATATTGCCCCGGGTCCTGGTAAGTGCACGGGTGCTTTTCCCTTCTCTTGTCAGAGTGAACAGATGCCAGCTTTTTCACTTTTGCTAATGAGGGGTCTGTGTTTCTTACCCTCCCAAGACAACCCTGTCGTTATCCACCTGGGGTGTTTATTCTGGGTAACCGGTGTGCTTGGTATGCTGGCTTTTAAGACCTGCCTGCCTAAGTGAAATCTCAATCAAGAGTCAACGCTGCCATTGACTGGAGAGCTGTGTACATGTCTCTCCTCGCTGAGCAGAGCAGGCACCCTTTCTCTGCTGTAACAGCAAGGGCTGAATAAAGGTTTATTTGTTAGAAGAAACTGCACAAACTCAGCTGCATTTCATAACCCTTTTATGAGAGTGCATATTAAAAGCAATGACAAGAAGGAGAAGGTTCGCATTGATGTAGGTTTCCAGTTAATATAAGCTGTCGTCCTTTTTCTCCCTATAGGCTTTTGTGCTCTTTTTGTAGTCCTAAAACTGATAACACAGCGGCTGCTGGAAGCCAGGGCTGTGGAACACTTTCCATTCCCACAGTCTTCTTCACGCTGATCTTAGCTGTCTGCAAATGCAGCCTGTAAAGGGTCTTTTTTCTTTTAGGAAATAGATTTTACAAAAAAAAAAAAAAGCAGGATAATAAGTTTTTCATAAATTTAAATGTTTTGACTCTTCTTTTGAAACTAGTATTTTTTTACTCAGAGCTCTAAAGGTAATATTTGGCAGGGGAAATAACTTGCAGTGAAGAGCAGGGCTGTTAGTGACTCCAAAGGAAATCAGACGTAGCTGAAAAACTTACAAGCGTTTGAAAATCACATACCAAGCATGAAGAGTGGATTTCTTTCCTTTCCCATTTGCACCCCAAAAACCATAAAACATGCAGCTGAAAAAGAAATCACCATACCTTTACTGTCCAGCTTAACTGCCCAGCACAAGGCTTCCTCTAGTAAAGTATGAGGAGGGCTCCTGGGGAGCTGGGAAAGGGGTAGGGGCTGATCCTGGCCCCTTGCTGCAGCACTGGGGCAGGATCTTGGTGCCTCTCTGGTGCATGAGCTCTTCTGATGGACCTAAGGAGCAGCAGAGCTGAGCAAGCCATGCACAGTGAACTGCGTCCTTCCAAGCACTGAGTGCTTGGAGGTCTTTGAAACAACAGCTGATTTTTATGCCTTCATTAATTTTTTTATCCCTCTCTGTCTCTTCTCTAAAAATCACTTTCCATTCTTCCCTGGAGTTTTCTAGAGTAGATGACTGTTTTGAGCAGTTTTACAGAGTCTGCAGCAATTTTTCAGAACAAAACGTTCAGGAGTCAGAAGATACCAAAGTTAAGGTCTCATGTGGCACCCCAGGCATGTGTCTCTTTAATTGTGTAATCACAGACCCTTTCTCCTTTATAAAAAAATAAAAGTTGGAGATCCTGGAAACATGTGTAGTATCTTTTAGCTGTGTGGGTGCCAATGAGATCATGCTTGTGGATGTAACCCACATAATAAATGACATCATGCAGTTGTCATTAGAGATGAAGTACTTTACATGGCATGAGGGTGTCACTTCATTTGAGAGTATATTTCGTCCAAGTTCAAAGACAGTCACTTCATAGTCTTCCATTTTGAACTTCAAATTGCTCCCAGGACAGGCTGTGCACTCAGGTGGAGGAAAACCAGCAAAAGTTAGAGAGAAAATAGCAAATTGCTGAAATTCTTTCTGGGAGAGGAGGGAGTGACATAAAAAGGTGCAAAGCGATGAGACACCCCATTGAAATAGCTGTCTGGATCTTTTCTCTGATCTGCAAAACTTAGGGGCTTTCCTGTCTTTGTCCTTAGTGGGACTTGTGGGACTGTGCTTTAGGGTGAGTTTCCAGTGATGTACATGATAAACGGAGGGAATTCCATAGGGAAGTTCTCTTTCCTCTCATTCCTTGCACTGAAGTTTTTTGGGTGAAGTCTAACTGCGTGCTAAGTTTTCTCTTTTTTTGTTCCGTTGTTTCAAATGCCTCCTGCACTCCTTCAGGGAAGACCTCCAGAGATCTTCACAGGATGAACAGTGACCTCTCATCCTTCTCTTACAGATTCGCTATATTTCACAGACGCAGGGCTTACCAGCAGAGTATTTGTTAAGTGCAGGGACAAAGACTACGAGGTTTTTCAACAGGGATACAGACTCACCATATCCTTTGTGGAGACTGAAGGTAGGAAGACATTTCCTTATTTCTTTTACCTTGCAGTTGCTTGGAATTGAGGAGATATTCAGGTCACCTCAGAGCCTAGGTCTCTGCTTTTTGCAGTGCAGTACAGGCATTGGGGTGGGTATGGCCCAAGGTAAAACTGCCATCCCCAAAGTCTGCAGCCCATAACACACCTGCTCAGCATTGCTTTATGGGAAATTTAAGTCTAGAATTGACCTGGAAATCTTCCTCTAAGTAGTCTGTGGATTGGTGTGTAGTTTAAATGAAACATGCCCTTGGCAGACTTTGCTCTAATATCTAATGCATTGGGGGGGAAAAAAGGCAAGCATTTTAATTCTGACAGTCAAAACCACTAGTAATGTAGGTGAGCCCTGAGTCTCGTGTGCCAGTGTGTTTGGCTGCATGCAGTCCCCCAGGGAGACAGGCCAGTGGGCTTCTGGCTGTAAGGATAGGATGCTGAGCTAGGATGGGTGTAAGACACCCACCATAGTTGGGAGGATCCTCAGAAGTGAAAGGGAATAGATAAATCACCTTGTGACACAAAAGATGTCACATAACCATAGCAGAAATCACATTGATGTTGTCTGGTCAGGCAAGAGAGGCACGGTGGTCTCTGATGAGGACAGGATGAGGCACATGTGGGCACATAAGCACAGCTGACTGCAGGGCAGTGTTGGTCAATGCCTCTGTCCTTTTTTGAGCAGACGCCAGATGATCATGAGGCAGAGACGGGGATTAAGTCGAAGGAAGCAAGAAAGTATATTTTCAACTGTTTGGATGATATGGCACAGGTAAGAGCATTGGTGAGTAACCAGGAAGACTGTTTACATGCCTTCTGGCAGCACTAAAAAAAGGGAATTACATGAGTTCTCTGCACATCCTGTACTTGTGCCAGCTCCTGAAAAATACCAGGATTATGCCTACCAAATTAGCTGTTATATCCAGCTTTGTAGGGGTGACTGCAGCCATAGTAAAGCAGCCTTGGAAAATGACTAAGTCACATCTCTGAGTGTTGAAATCCTGCGTTTTCTCTTGTCTATGCAGTACTCCTCTGTGTGACCACTGGCAAGTCCCTTAGTTCTCTGTGCTTTAATATTTCTGTTTGATAAATGGTGACACTGGAAATACTCACCATGGCTGTAGAAGAGTGCTCTCTGTAAAATGTGGCTGTCTGGGGGAATGGGGAGTACTAATTCACTTGTCAATTCCATATAGTTGCGAAAGGTAATCCCAGCATAACCACTCCTGCGACAGGAGTTTGTGCTAACACACAAATCATTGTGCAAAACTGGTTCAACACTGGAGTTTGTACTAGCAAAGTCTAGGCATGGTAGCACTGATAAGCAAATATGCAGAAATGGAAGACTGGAATCAGGGGAGACTTTATAAATGCATGAAATAACGTGGTGTTTTTTTCCCTGACACCTGATACATGAATGGGATGTTTCTCATAAAACTTCTGAGAATTTTTGTGTATTTTATGTATCTCTTGCTCACGGGACACATAGATAAGTATCTGATAGCACAGTACTTTGTATGATAAATACACTGATTATGAGAGCTTGCCTGCTACCACATGAAAGCTGTTCATCATCAGTGGAGGGTGACTAAGTGTTTCATTAGCCATTGACCCAAGCGAGCTGAACACTTAACAGTCTGTCTAGAGATCTGACATGCACAGGCCAGATGACCAGCCAGAGTGTGCCGTGTGACTTCAGCAACTACCCCTTTAGACAGGGAGGCTTGCAGGGCATGTGCTCCAGCGAGGAGTAAACACAGTTTGCTGGAGACCTGACCATCTGCTCTTTCCTTTGGCGCTCACTCTTGTCGTTTCTCCTTTAGGTAAACATGACAACGGATTTGGAAGGAAGTGATATGTTGGTGGAAAAGGCAGACCGGCGGGAGTTTATAGATCTGTTAAAGAAGATGTTGACGATAGATGCAGATAAGAGGATAACACCCATTGAAACTCTGAGCCACCCTTTTGTCACCATGACGCACTTGCTCGATTTCCCTCACAGCACACAGTACGTGGCTTTTGTTTCCCTTGGGTTTTGGACTGGAGGGTGAAGGGAAGAGCTGGCTGTGGTGGAGACCAAATGTATCTGAAGGGCGTTGTTAAGGTGTTTATACCCTAAGTTTTAATCTTTTCCTGGTTAGAAAAAAGGGGATTGCCAAGTCAAGGTTGTTAGAATTGTGTTGTGGGTGCTTGGCATTTAAAATGCTGAAGTGTGTGCTACATTAATTATGTAAATATTCAATAATTACGTATTTTTCCATTAAAATGCAGAAGAAATTATGCAATTAGTGCTGAAACTATCAGTCTAACTCAAAGTAATATAGTCATGATTGTTACTGAAGTAATCAACCTTATCTGCAGTGGGGAACCGACCCTTACTCCCAGAACCTTCCCATCTTGCAGGGGTCAGTTTGGGGCTCTTTGCTTTTTAAGGGAAAAGCTATTCTGCAGCAGCTCTGTTTTAAAAGCATAGGCAACAGGATGAGGAGTTCGATTTTCAGCTGTCTGTTGTCTGCCTGTGTCACCTTAAATACCATGCTGTGACCTCATCTGACACACGTGTGGAATGGAGATGGGCTCTGTGGTTTGCTGGAGATGTGAAGAAGTGTCATGCCTTCGAGCCTGACTGCCCCTTCTCCTAAGGCTGCATTACAGAGCAGAGCAGCCTGAAGTGCAGGAAACCTGCACCCAGCCCACTGCCCTTGTCCCCTGGGCAGTGAACATAGGGCCAGGCTTCTCAGGTGTAAGTGAAAAAGGTAGATGCATAGTGGGAGTTTTCCAAAGCCTTCAGGACACCTAGCTTTGAATATCCTGCTCTACAGCACTTGCAGTTCAAGGTGCTTTTGCAGGCTGTCCCTTCCACTTGACAGGAGAAAGTTGCCAGCACAGTGTTGTACTTCATTGGGTGCCATTTACATGACTGTTTAAAGACTGTCAGGAGCTCAGGTACAAAATTAAAGGAGATTCCTTAAAAAACTCTAGAGTATGTGTGTGTGAGTGCTGCAGAGCAACAGGTAACTGTGTCAGCTCTCCTGCTTGTATGTGTGGCTGCGGTATTTCAAGTTCATTTAAGGTAGCTTTCCCTCTTTGAAGGAGCTGTAGCTACCTTTTTGTTACATTTATCACAAGATAAGAGCAGCTGCTTACCAGAAGGTAGTGGGTGCACGATCTGTGTAGACCCAGACGTACCATGCACAGCCATTTTGGAGCATTGTTATCTATAAATAGATAGTAAATGATAAATGTAATGAAAACAAGATGGGAGATTGTTGTGCTAAACAGGGAGAAAGTAAGTTTCATATAAAAACCACTCATAAATAAAAAATGACAGTATTTTCTAACAACGTGAGCATCATAGACAAAAGTCTCTTAATTTGCAACAATCCTTCTTACTGTGCAACAACTGATTGTGTAAGATAGGAGAAATTTGTGACCTAATGCATTGCCATCAGAAATCTTTCCACTAACGCAACAGACCATAACCACATCTTCATTTTTGAAGTGCTCACTTGTGGCTGCTGAAGCGAAGCCCCAGAAAGGTTGAAAATATCACTGGGGCCGATAGCAGTGAGGATTTTACCCAAGTAAAGAATTCAGCATCAGGTCTCTGAATACTAAATGCTGTGCCAGCCGGGTGCGTAACCCCGCGCAGCCCCTCCACGTAGGGAGCAGTGATTGGAAAAGAGAGCAATAAGCTGTAACCAGCATGGCGAGTTGATGGAAATTTTGTCTGTGATTGCCTGTAGTTTGGAGAATAGAAACTTCAAAGCCTTGAGAGATGCAGGGAGTTGTAATCTGTCTTGAAAGTAAATCGGGCAGCAGAGAAAGTGAGAATATGTGGAAGCTGTAACTTCTGGAAGGAATCTGCTGTGGCAGGCTTCAGAGAGGCTGCAAGTTTGAGCAGCACGAGATGGGCTGTTCTGCTTACTTGCAAGCAGACAACAAAGTGACTTTAGGTCCCCATTTCACATAATTAGCTGCCTGGATCTTAAATTGCTGAGTACTCCTCAAACTTTTTCTGTTTTGATTTGTCCCTGCCTTTTTTTATCCCCCCCTTTTTTAAAGTAAGAACAGAGAACATGGTGTTGCATTAGTAGAGCTTACACCTTGTTATATAAAACTGTTTGGTAACACACACAGTTCACCACGTAGAGAATATACACTCTTTTCAATGCTTTTTGCTTTTTGAATGGGGAATTATGTTCATACTTGACTGGAAAAAATGCAATTCAATAGTCTTCTGTATTTATTTGATAAGTGTTTGATTTTGCTGAATGTTCTGCAACTAACAGGTATAGTTCTGTAAGTGAATGCTCATAATGTGCAGCTGTGCACAGTGTCCTGAGCCTGTCTTGTCTGCAGGTGTTTATGGCCCAGATCCAGTTATCAAGATCTTACTCACAGGAAAAGAGAGGTGACCATTTGAATAAGAGAAAAGATAGGGATGAAAAGATTGAGGTCCTCTTCCTGACCAGCTCGAGGGATCATATGAGGTTGTCCTTTTGAAGGGACATTTTGTTTCTTAAAACTTAGGTGAGGATATGTTTACCTCCTCTAGCAGTTTAGATCATTACAAAACAATCAACATACAGCTGATTTTTTACAGCTACAGCTGATTTTCACTGCTTGGAATTGCTATTTTTCTGTGTTGAGATAATGGAAATAAAATAAATGCCTTTATACTTTTTGGGGTTGAGTTTCAGACTCTAAGATTGCATTTGTGAAATCAATTATTATGGAGGAATTGTGGGAAAACTGTATTGGTTTTTAGACCTCAAAAAATGAGATTTTATTAAAAATATAGTTTTGCACAGGTTTGCTGTGTTGTTATTTCTTAACCTCTGTATGCTTTGGTATCCTAATTATAGAAATGAAATACTGACAGTTTCATGTAGTAGATGCCTGGTGAGCTCTAAAAATGTAGAGAGTATTTCATCTCCTTTGCAGGAGGCACAAAATATGATACTTCTCAAAATTTCCATTGGTATATCAATAACATTTAAGGGAAAGTCAGCGTAGAGGAAGAAGCTGTAATCTTTCCCCCAGAGATCCAATTCTCAGTGTGAGATAACCTCAGAACCGGATTGCCTTGGGGCATTGATGAATCTGATTTGGCATAACCTTTTTCAATATGAATTGTCCCATTGACTGCAAGAGGAGGTCTCATGTGCTTCAAGATAAGCATCTGTACAAGCATTTAGCCAGACAGGGGCAATGTTTTAAGGGCTAGGCTGGACTCAGCTCTCAGTAAACTACTTCCTGGAAGGAACAAGGGAGATTTTTTTAGTGGCCTCAGTGATCAAGAATAGTAGAATTCTTCCTTGCAAAGGACGTGTAAAACTACCTTTAGGCTTGCACAGAGGCAAAAGTGTGAGTTGTCTTTTCCTCTCAGGCTCAATCATCAGAAAAAAAAACAGTATCTATCTTTCTTTCTTGCTCTCAGTCTCTTTCGGTCCTTAAAAAGAGCCACTTTGTATTTCTTGCCTTGTCACCTAAAGAGCAACCAATTTGCTTGCTGCTTGTGATTTGTATTGCAGTGCTGAAACCCATGGGAGCACCCAGGAGTCCCAAAGCAGCCGCTCTCGTCTTGGCCGTTTCAGTACAGAGTTAAACTGACTCTCACTGGTTAAGAGAGACCTGCATAAAACAGCAAAGGGCTTTAAGAGCCTAGAAAGTGCTAGACCTGCCGTGGAGACCTAATGCAGGGCCACTGTGATGAACTGTTACCTGTGTTAGTCGGTTGGTTGATTTTCTGGCTCTTCCTTGCCCCCCTTTCCTTACACAGTGTCAAGTCCTGCTTCCAGAACATGGAGATTTGCAAGCGGCGGGTGAATATGTATGACACAGTGAACCAGAGCAAGACGCCATTCATCACCCACGTAGCCCCAAGTACATCGACCAACTTGACCATGACTTTTAACAACCAGCTGAACACAGTCCACAACCAGGTAAGGGCATTGATCAGAAGCAGACAGTGCTTGAAACCTTTGTGTCAGCAGGGTCTAGAAGATGAAAAGCGAAGTAGCATCCCATTTAACATGCCTGCCAAGAGATGGTGGCTTTTTACTCTCCTTCCTCTGCTCCTTTCGTCATTCTCTTTTCTTCAGGCAAGCAGTAATCTTGTGGCATTTTGTGTGATGGTGAAATGTTGCCCATGTTGTTTATGTTGTTGTTGGGGTGATAAATCCTGCTTACTTGGAAGTTGCTATGGGGAAAAGCTCATTAGTCTCTTAATGCAGCAAGTAGGACTTCACTCCCTGGGTCAGGCAGAAGTATTTGTGATCTTACAGCACTTCTTCAAATTTGCATTGAAGTAAAAAGAATTTAAACCCTTCTGTAACAGACACAACACTGTAACTGATCAACATGAAAGGAGAGTTTAATGATAATGTTTATTCTTATCTCGCATTGGTTTTACTCCAGGTGCCACAGTTGATGTGGGGACTGTGTGCACGTATCCCCACTGTGAACAAACTGCACTCTACTTCAGTGGGCTCTGGCTTTATAATTGTGCTTTGTATTAGTTTCACTTGCCCCAGTGTTGGAGGGTGCTGTGTTGACAAATTTTTTGTGACTAGCAGATGAAGTTGTTTACTGCGGTACTGTATTACAGCAGTGAAGGGAAACTCTCCAGGGAGAACACTGTAGGAGACTGAAGCTCAAGAAATAGCTACTGTCTTTTAAGCCTCTTGGGAACAGGCTGCTCAAGATTCAGTCTAGAGATTGCAGGTGGCATTGCAGAAGTGGTGTTTGGAAAGCCAGGGAGCTAAAGGAGTCTGTATAGACCTACAGGGTGTTCCTGCGTCAGTCAGAAAACCAGACTTCATGACTCAGGTCCTGATACATGTGATCACAGAAGGTCTTTTGAAACAATTCAAGCAGATTCAGACAGAGATAGGTCATGACTTGGTGTGATAGGGTATTAGTTGCAAACACCAGTTCCCTTTCTTGTCTCTTTCTGAGTTGCTGACTAAAGAAATGCACACTACAGGCTCCCCTAGGCCCCAGCTGCAGGGCAGAGACACCATTTGTACCACAGTTGCTAGTAGGAAATGCAGACTTGCTTTCATTTCCTCACAGCTCACTTGACATTACGATCAGTTGTTGGCTGGGGAGATCCATGGTAATTTCTGAATTCTCGCAAGGGGTGTGTGTTGTGAGCAGAACCAGTATCTCCAGTGTTCCTAGAAGAAGTGGTAGAAATATTTCCAGGAAGAGTTTTTTAGTTTGAACAAGCTCTAAGCCTTTCACAATTCTCTTCAACATACCATTCATCTTAGCTTTCTTTTGTTTCCTGTCTCTGCAAAATGTCTGGGGATTGCCTCCTTCCAGTTACAGCTTCTGAGATTAGGAGTGTGGGAGCTGTTGTGGTTGCTGCTCAGTATGTTGCACAGGAGAGCAGATTGCACTTCACTGCCTCTGCATGGAGAGGGGATGATGAGGAGGAAGAAATGTTTTGTGGTCACATTCTTCGTGTCTGTGGCTGTGGCAGTGCAGCACGGGTCCAGTAGCAACCAATGCAGTGCAAAATGCTTAGTTTGCTGTCTCCTCCAGCCTTGATCAAAGCCTCCTCCTGGGTTCATATATTCACCATGAGAAAGCGTTGTCTGACCTGTCATTTACCATGAGAAAGTAGTGTCTGACCTATGTCCAGCAATGCTTCCATTTGTTTGGGCAGAGGGGAAGGATGGGCTCTGGTCTGGTAGAGTCTGGCTGCCTGGGCATGAATGCTAAGGACATAGTTTTAGAGCAGTGACAGAGCTGTTTAGTTGTCTGCAACTGTTAGACTCAGTCCAAATGAAAAAAGTCTTCAGATTTCTAGATGTTTTGCAGAACACTGGGATGATTTTTGTGGCTTTGCAACATCCCCTGCTGGAGTTTCTGCTCTAAGAGATTTTAAAGACAAGCCAAGTTTGGACTTTGCAAGTATTAGTATTACCACCTGTTATGCCTTCTGATTACTTCAAATTCCATAATTCAGGGGGCGTGTACTATCTTAGATGCAAGGTATCTAAGAGAAAGGGCTGGAATGAATCTCCCCTCTCAGGATGAGACTTCACAAGGCATGGAGGTGCTGAGTTTATTTTACCTCAGAAATATGAGCAGCTCCTAGACCTATGTACATGATGAGTGAACAACATGATTTGTGGGTAGTAACATTTTCTGACCCCATCTTCATCATTCTGCAAATCAGAGGCAGTTGGGTGAGAAATGGGGCTACAGTTCTGCTTTAGAGAATGTGCTGTGTCTCTCAGCAGTTCACAGCAGCACTGCATGGCCAGAGGCCCTGTGGTGTGGTACAACTGTGGTTACTCAGGTGGATTGTGCTCCTTTCCCCAGCACTGCCCTTATCTCTGTGCTCCTCAGTGTCCTGTTCTACCCCTTGTTTGGCTTTGGTTTGCTGTTTTGTTTGTTTTGGTTTGTTTGGTTTCTTTTTTTCACTTTATCTTACACTATTTTACTTTTTTATTTTGTTTTTGGATTTTGCTTCTTCCAACGTACCCATCTCCCTCATTTTTTTGTTTGTTTTTTGTTTAATTCCCGTCATTCCTTTAGACCACCAACCTGGCTCCCACCTCCTCCAGTGCCACTATTTCCTTAGCCAACCCCGAGGTCTCCATACTAAATTACCAATCTGCACTCTACCAGCCCTCAGCGGCGTCCATGGCTGCGGTGGCCCAGCGGAGCATGCCCCTGCAGACAGGAACAGCGCAGATCTGTGCCCGCCCCGACCCCTTACAGCAAGCTCTCATCGTCTGCCCACCAGGCTTCCAAGGTAAGGAACAGCCTCACCGGACCTTGGCCAGTTGCTGCTCCCTCCCCACTGCTGTTTAGTCCAGCTCCTGTTGGAAATGAGCTCCCTTAGTGCAGGTCAGGTGGCAGGAAGAAGGCTGGCCTAGTAAATGGGAGCAGTGAGGTTGTTGCAGGTGGAAATGTTTGCAGCGGTGGAAGATCTTCCAGGGACCTCTGACAGCATGAGTTGGAGGTAGCTGGTCTAAAACAACAGGGCAGATGCTGAGAAGGGGCTGAGGGGGGGAATATGTGATGTTTGTCCTCTTTTGCCCTGAACAGAGTTTGAAGGCTCTTCTGCCATACTTTGGTAAACTTGAAAGCTTTCCCCCACAGTAACATGAATCAGCATGTGCGTAATGGGCTCATCACTTCTCAGTGATTCTGTTGCTAAAAGGGGAACTCAGGAGGGTAATGCAGCAGGGAACATGGTGGGGGTGGAGATGAGGGTTTGCCCCCATAACATGCTCATGACCATTTATGAATAAAATTCCCTCAGCTCCACCCCACTGCAAACAGCTCTACCTGTGTATATAGTAGTAGGTACCATTGTTAGACAACTTGGGTGATGATCAGAATTAGCTACTTGTCCTTCTCTTAACTTTACATGCTGTAGCAATTTGGAAAACTAGATGGGTATCTGTAGGAAGTGGGCTAAATAGACCTTGGTTCAGCTGGTGCAACTTCTACTCTTCAGTTCTACAAGCCTGTCTGTGCAGCAGTCTCTAGGCACTTGTTAAATGTTCTGCAAGATTATCAAAGCTCTTTTGAACTAGAGAAGTTCAGCTAGACCTCTTCTACGTAGTTAAAATGCATCTCAAGGGTTTGACTTCAGAAATGTATTGCTTGAGTACATAAGCTAACATCTTCAGCTTGCTGTCCTGAGAAAGCTCTAAAGCAGAGGAGGCAGCACAGGCTGTGCTGAGGTGGTGGAGAGGGAAGCTTCCTGCTGCTTGGTTGGGCTTATGTGTGGCTTAATCAGTTTGGGGGGTGCTGGAGCCTTTCAAATATGAGTCCCGAGAAGCTGTTCAAGAGAAAAGGGGGTACAGAGTTCTGGATTCCCATCCCACTGTCCCACTTTGGTCTAAAGATAGCATTCTCACGTAGCAATAGGTTTGGGCTGGCAAAGACCATTTTCTGTTGTCAAACTGGAGAATATGGTGAAGAGAAGCCATTTACTCTGCTGTTTTCTTTTTCTCCCTGTATACACTGTATTGTGATATTTGCTGTGCATTTGAGGTACACTAAAAATATGAACTCAGTTATTCCCTTAACACCTCTGAAAACGTCTTTTCTGTACCCTTATACATGTATCATGTTTGTGAACATTTGTTGGACATCTCTGGGCTGGGGTAGAGCATGTGGCACTCTGATAGCCCAATTTTTCAGAGGGACTGTATATTGCAATTTAAGTGGACATCAGCGAGTGCCTTTAGGCACCTCTGAAAACCAGAGCCCTGTTCCTAGCAGTGCTGCTGATGGCTAATGCTGTACCTTCTGTGCTGGTGGAACAGGGTTACAAGCCTCCCCTTCAAAGCATGCTGGGTATTCGGTTCGGATGGAGAACGCAGTTCCCATTGTCACTCAGGCTCCTGGGGCCCAGCCTCTTCAGATCCAGCCAGGACTCCTCGCACAGGTAAGGAATTCTGAAGACACCGAGCTCAGCAGGTATTTACTGTGTTGTTTAGCTCTTGAAGGCTGAGGGGAGTAGCTTTATCTAAAGGCCTTCTGTGGTGCAGTTTGGAGACTTGGGCAGCTATATAAGGGTCTGCAGCTTTCTCTGAAATGTCCAAATCTCCCCCAGCTCAAAGGCTATGTCAGAGTTGCAGAAGCCTCCAGAAAAAACCTCTTTCCTTCTGGTTTTCCACTGGAATCAGTGGGAAAGCCTCAGGGAAATCTGTATCCGGCCTCTGCTGAGGAGGAACCAATAATAACCTTCCTGCATCCTCCTGAACTTGCAGTCTCAGTGGTAGTTTGTAGTCAGGAGTCACAGTGGTGAATTGTGTGTTGCCAATAAATGTCTTCCATGCTTTAAGACTCCACCATTCTGTTTTATGAGCTGCACCTCTGCTCTTCAGGTATGAGTGAGATGGAAGGAGCAGAGGCAAAGACCCCACAGGCAAGGAGCTCTCCTTGTCAGCAGCACTTATTGGCACAGTTGTTGAATTGTGCTCATAGGAAAAGCATGGTTCCTTCCAGAATCAGAAATGGGTACCATTGATCACATGCACATCCTCAAGGGGAACCCCAGCTTCTCAAACCAGAGGAGCAGTTCATTCCACCTTGTGCTGGCTTCAGCAAAATCTGCCCCTACTGCTTTTGAGCTGGTGCCATGGTAACTTTGCTGATAACAGGCAGGAAAAAAAAACACCTAGTAGACTTAATACTAAGTCGTGCAGCCTGGAAAAGGTGACCTGTTAATTAAAAATGCATGCCTCTGACTCAGTCTTGGTTGGTCTGCAGTCAGGTACCCACAGACTTAAGGGTTTGTGCCTGTGCCCTGCACTGCTGCGGTAAGACTGTTGGTGCTATTGCCTTCCTTTGCCAGATGCCAGTTCTGCTTATCTGGTGGATCAAAATGCAACTTGCAGTCTGGGTGATTTCCACCTGCCCTGCCCCTTCCCAATAGCAGAGCCTTTGTTAGAGGACTGTCTGAAACATCTAACCTATCTCTGTTATGGCTTGTTGTAACAACAGATGTGGGCCATCACTCTAGTTTGGTAGGAAAGGAGAGCCTATGAGGCAGTCAAAACAAAAGCTCTGGCAAAGCGAGAGCAATCTGTGCAGGCTCAGAGCCTGGCACCTATTGCTTGTGCAAGGAGTCAGCCAAGGCAGTGGATGAAGGAGGTCACAGGGCTTTACATGCCCCCATCATTCTACCAGGCCTCCTGTGGTGTGCTTTCTGTGGGGCTTGAAGGAGTGATCTGAAGCATCCCAAAGGCAGCAGGAGCCTGAAAGATCTCAGGACCTCACGCTCCTTCTTTCTTCTCGAGATGGCCTTGTTGGATTTCATACAAACGAGGAATGTTTGTAGTAAATATCCTCCTGAACACCCTCCCTCCCACAGGTTACCAGTTTCGATGCTACCTCTGCCACACAAATGCCGATTTCTTGGGCTGCCCCTTTCATACTTTCTACCGACATTTTATTTACTGCCACTTCCAAAAGGGAATTCAAGCTGTTTCTGAGAAACTCTCCTCACTTGCATAGATTTTTAATTTTTGATTTAATAAAAGAGAGGCGGTCTGCCTGTTGATGTATCTGTTTGCCTGGCGCGATGAGAAATGCTAGCTGTCACTCTGGTGGCAGGACACTCTGATTGATGCCGGTGGCATCTGGTGTCCGTGGGCCTCACTCAGTTCGGGCTGAGCAGCTGGTCTGATAAACAAATCTGTACCCAATTCCAGTTTCCTGAATGGAAAAACACAGCTTCTTTGTGATGCATTGTAGTCCCATCTGATCTCTGAGCGGCTGCGTGTCTCTCTCCCAGCAGAGAGCTATTGCCCTCATGCACAGCTGCTTATCTAATACTCTTCAGACTGGACCACGGGATTGCTCCAACTATTAGAGGGCCTGTCCCCGGCAGAGAGTGTAGCACCTCCAGAGCCCACTTCTGTCTTTCCACCTGCCTTATTTGTCCCACCGATGGGGCACGGTGCTGCTCCTTGTGCTCCCAGCACACAGCACAGGTCGCTGTGCTTGACCTCATGAGGATGCCTGTGGCTGGTAAGGCCTTACTGCATCCCAGCGCAGCTGGCGTCCAATTCCCCCCGTGCATTTTGTACAAGACCAACCGCACCAGAGGAAGGAAGGAGGAAGGAGTTCCAGGGGCCGGAGGGACCCCCTGCTGAGGCACTGACAGATTTTGAGCATCATCTCTGGCAGCTGTGTGTCTGCAGTCTGTGGGATGGAGCTAGGCAGTGCAAGGCAGAGCAAGCAGCCTGCAAGATGCGGGGTCAGTGGCTAAAGTAACTTGTTTGTAACTTGTCTGGGTCTATTTTCACCCTCTCAAGCAAATGTGGTCCACATACTGTATGCACAGGGACTGGTGAAAGGAGACTGATCCTGTCTTTTCTAATAGCTCTCTGTGGCTTTTGATCTCAAAAGAGACAAAACTGTACAGTTTTCTGGCAGGCATCCATGACGTGACCTAGAACTGTCCCCTGTCCTTGAATAATGCCCTGAATTCTTGATTTTGCCCTCCTCTTAACTCCTTCCCAACACCACTTCCCACGGAGGTCCTGCCACCGGCTTTCAGAACAAACACAGTTATTCCATTAGTCGCTCCTGCTCTATATCCGGAGCACGAGCTCCGTCGCACCAGGGGATCCCCCAGCTCCCGAGCGCGGGGGCCAGCACGGTGCTCCACCACGGCTGCAAGATTTCATAGTGAGGCAATAACTGGGAACAGGCTGCGGCTGCCGGCACAAGCCTCCTGTGTGTGAGCACAGCGCGCTGTGCTGGTGGATCAGCCTAGACAAGTCTTATCTGCAGATTAAATGATTCAGTGGTCCTTACCTAATAAGTGAGGAATTTGTGCCTAGACCCTGACACTGCATCTAAATTTATGCACTGCAGTCAGGCAAGGAGCTTAGTTTTGTTTCGTTCTCTTCCTGAAAAGGGAGGAAGCAGTTTTCTCTGCAAGTAAATCCAGGTAGTCCCCTGGGACTGACTGCAAGAGTAGTTTAGTCTTGCTCTTTTAAAGCAAAGCTGGGGAAAAAAGAGAAAAGAATAAAAAGGCTTTTTTCCTCCCTGATCTTTTAGTGTCTTTGCCTCTTTCTCTTACTTGCTCCAAACAGCAGCAGCCTGTGGTTGTGGCTCCTTAGATGAAAGGGTCTCAGGAGCCTTGTGACTGTCCATCCTTTGCAGATGTTGTGAGAGGCCTCACTGTAGCAGCCTTTTCATCTAACTCAGCAACATGGAAAGTTACAAGACAGTCAAACTTTGGAGCAGAATGGGAAAAGGTGTTTTTTGGGGAGTGTTTTTTTGGTTTTTTTTTCCACTGGGGGATAGAAGGGGATCATGGGGACAGTTAACTGGATTCTTGTGAGGATGGAGAAATGGACAAATGTATGCTTGGAACCAGCCTCCCCTCAAATTTAGCCTCCTTGGAGCTGTGAGATAACACAACACAGGTCCAGTATAGTAGTGCAGGTTGAGACTAAAGTGGGCCATAGCTGGTACCCCTGCATTCCTCAGCCCAGGCAGTGATAAGCTGCCAGAGCTGCCTTTGGGCAGCACGTAGCAAATAAAGTTTCCCAAGTCAAAAAACCAACCATCTGACTGTGTGGAGTCACTGGAGCAGGACAACCTGAGTCATGCCTGTGGCAGCGCAGCTGGGGGGATATTGCATACCAGAATGATGGCTCAACTCACAGGGCAGGAATTTACACCCTGTAAGGGGGGCACTCACTCAGAAAAAGCAGGAAAGCACATGGAGAGGACGGGCATAAAATACATAGCTGTGCATGGCTTCACTCTGCTTTGCCCAGAGAGGCTCCTGGTGAGCTGCAAGCAGGCAACTGGGCTTCTTGGCTGTGTAGCAAGATGTTCCTTCTGAGGAGCACCCAGTGGCTTATAGGTGTTCCCTTTCCATATCCCCAAATTCACCTTTTTCCCCTCCTTACTAAAGCCCAGTTCTTTTTCCTGGTCCTTGAAAAGTTCATTTTCCTTTTAAGTTCCTGAAGTCGTTTAGGTCCTGTTGGGATGAGAAAGAAAACTGGCTGTAGGAGGGGGAAATTGGCAATGGAACCATACGGCCCAGCTGATCTGGAAAGTCAAAATTAAAAGGTGCTAAAGTGTTTGATGTTTGGGTTGAAATGCCAACTAGTTTTAATCCCTCCTATTCCTAGTTTAGCCTAAAACACAGCTGCTGCTTTATACAGCAGGGACTTTTCCCCCTTCCTTTCGATCCTCTGTATTGATGACTTTTACTGCTTTTACTGTACTTTCCTAACGATATTTGAAAGGGGATAAGAGCTATGTAGTATGACCATGATAATTATTGGGGGCCCCAGGTGAGCGTGGACCACCACTCATGCTTGGTGCATGATGCCTTTTGTTTTTCCTCTATCTGACAGCAAGCGTGGCCCAGTGGCACTCAGCAGATCCTGCTCCCTCCTGCCTGGCAGCAGCTGACCGGGGTGGCCACCCACACATCTGTCCAGCATGCGACCGTCATCCCGGAGTCCATGGCAGGCACCCAACCACTGGCAGACTGGAGGTAAACTGGAGGTGCTTGGAGGCTCCCTGAAGTACCCACCAGTGCTGGAAGAGGCCTGAGAAGAGTGAGGGCAGGAGGGATGGGGTCTCACAAGGGCTGTGAGGGAGAAGGGCTGCAGCCTGTCGCCCCCTTGTCTGAAAGCTATGGGCAACTTCTCCGTTCCATGTCCTTGGGGTGGAGTGCTGGGCCCACAACGCTCTCTTCAGTCTGCTCCCTGGGGAAACCGCTCCATCCTGGGTGGACTAGGAGCCCAGTGGGCCCTGGAAGGGAGGGTACCTTGGTGAAGGGCAGTGGGAGCCTGTGGAAGAGCCTGCCGAGGAACAACTGGTTGCGTGTTAAACGGATGCCTGTCTCCCCACCACGCAGGAACACGCACGCTCATGGCAGCCACTACAACCCCATCATGCAGCAGCCCACGCTGCTGGCCAGCCACGTGACCCTGCCCGCCGCCCAGCCCGTCAACGTGGGTGTCGCCCACGTCATGCGCCAGCCGCCCGCCACCACCTCCGCCAGGAAGAGCAAACAGCACCAGTCGGCGCCCCGGTGAGTGTGTGCCTAGCCCGGCGCTGGCTGTGGTGGTGGGGTGGGGGTCCCATGCTTCCGAGCGCAGCCCTGCGATGCAACTGTGCTGGCCAGCGTGGTGTTCACTGACGTCTGCAGGGCAGAATAAAGTTTATTCCGCAGCCTGCAAGGGATTAGGTTACGCATTTTGTGACTGGAGTCTTTGCTGCTTCAGCTCTTTGGCACCCAGGTCAGGAGAGTGGCAGGTAAGAAGTGATCCGGTGCATTTTACACCCAGTGAGCATCATTTTGCATGGGAGTCAGTGGCTACAGGAGATGCAAGATGGGAGACTTGGGCCCTGTTCATACACTTTTATGCTGCTGTGATTACCTGAGGCCTTGTTATTAAAAATGTTACTGAATTCTCAGGTCAGTGTGCCGCAGTGCCCAGTTGCCACACCTTTTCTTCCCTCATCATCTGGAAGAAGCACTCCCGAGGTGCAGTGTTTGCACTTCCATGAGGTGATGCACCTCAGGGGACCGCATCTTCAGGAACATGTGCCTGATGTGTGCACACGAGATCTGCCCTTTCAAAAACAATGGAGTGATGACCTGTCTTCTGAGCTTTAATGCCGTGTGGAGTGGAGGACTGGGGTGACTTTAGGCCACCTCAAGCTCTCTAGCTCCTAACATAGATGGTTAGTCCCTATCTTCAGCAGTACACACCAGCAACAGATCTCCATGCTGGCCTTGATATAATCATGGCAGCACAAAACAGAGCATTTTGTAAGGCTATCTCACACAAGGGCAGTCCTTAGAAACTATCGGCTCTCAGTCTACCATTTGGCTCTGCAAGGAGGAGACTGGGGTTTCTTGCACAACTCAGGTGGTAGGATGGTTGCAGCGCCTGTCACAGCAGTGTAAGCTTGTCTAGAGGACAAGGATGTTTAAGATGCATGTGTACCTGTTCTGGGGAAGGTCCTCTGGGCTGTGCAACTATGACGCTTCTTTAAAAAGAAAAAACAACAAAAACACAGAACAGAACAGTGCAGGGGAGAGAACCAAAATGGGTCACCACTTGTGCAGAGGCAAAAACAGAGGAGCTTGTGGTTTTCCTGGGTGACTGCACTGGGGTCAGAGGAGCTCTGAGTTCGCAACCAGTTTGACTCTAGTTAAGAGGCCACTATTTAAATCCTTCCCATGTATCTGCTCTCTAATGTTGAATTTACTTTGGGTGGGCTCCAGCTGTCTTAGTCAATCGGTAACACAGAGGAGAGGCAGCTCGTCCCCAGCAAGCCAGCAAAAGAGAGCACCTGCTGGAACCAGTGTGCCTGTGCAGGGCCCCCCTTCTCCCTTCACTCTCCAGGGGCAGGATGGCAGTGTCCAGGAGGAATTGGGCATCCTCAGAGCAAAGGGTTTCTACAGCTTCATTAATTGTGACTCTTTTGTAGCCAAATGAGGAACTGTGCTCCTTTGGAGAGGAGGGTACTCCACTCTGCTCATTGGTATTCAAAAAGCACTTTGAATGCTACCGTGCAGCCATTTGTTATGCAAAAGACCCTGTGTAAGTTGGTATAGTGTGATATACTGCCAGGGTGACTTCCTTTTGATGGATGCCACCTATTCCTTTTGTTAGCTTTCGGGCCAGGCTGAACATGCAGCCCAGGCCCCACAGTGGAACAAAACCAGAACTTTGGGGGTTTTTTTTCCTTTTTGAATCTCCAGATGTTTTGCAGTAGTGAGAAGAAATACAAGGGAGAAAGAAAGTGTGGGAATTGAGTGAAATGGGCTTTAGTCAGTGTGCTTTGGTAAATAACCCCATCTGCAGACCCATGCTGCACTGCTGGGTAGATTGGTTCTGTGTTCAGACCCCTGATCCAAGTGAGCCTTTTCCGCTTGGTCTGGTAGGGAAGCTGACGTAGGAAGACTTGGGAAAAAACAGGACTTGAGAATGCTTTTTTACTGTGTAATAAGAATATTTTTCTTTTCTTTCTGATTTACATATGCTGGATGCTACTTCACATGGAAATTAAATGAGACTGAGTATATGTCCTCCCTTCTGCCTGCTCTCATCTATGGGACACCACTGTCCTAGAGGTCAAAGTATTGGGCAGGAAATGTTCATTGAAAAGATTCTTAATTAAACAGAAATTAATTTCTGTTTAATTAAATTAAAAACCGGTTTTCCTGATAAATGATTGTTGTTTTCCACAGCAAACTCTAATTTTATCTCTAGCATTTTCTGGCCAAAAAATATCTGGTCATGATGCATCTGTGCAGGATACAGGCGAAAGAGATTATCATTTAGGTGGTTCTCTCTCCTGTGACAACCATAGAGTGCCTGCCTTTGTTCTGTATGTCTGGGCTGTGTGACTAGCCCCTACTCTCCCAGTGCAAACTCCTGAGAGGCAGCATTTCTCATCTGGAAATTTCTAGGGAAAAAAAATTGAATTTTTTGCTACAAGAAACTGCTTTTCAGCCAGTGATATGAATAAGTCATGCAAGGCACTCTCTCCTTTGAAGAGGTGACTGTGTCAATTTTGCAGTTTTCCTAGACTCCACTGAATCAGAGACCGGGACTCACAAGCCCTTGGTGACGGGCAACTTGAGCAAACAGAGTTTTAACCAACTAACGCCTTTTCCCATTTCCAGAAACACATCCACCTATGAAGTTTCATCCTCTCAGTCCATCAGCTCGCCCCAGCGGTCGAAACGAGTGAAGGAGAACACGCCTCCCCGCTGTGCCATGGTGCACAACAGCCCTGCCTGCAGCACCTCCGTCACCTGCGGCTGGGGCGACGTGGCCAGCAGCACCACGCGGGAGCGGCAGCGGCAGACGATCGTCATTCCCGACACCCCCAGCCCCGCAGTGAGTGTCATCACTATCAGCAGCGACACGGATGAAGAGGAGGAGCAGAAGCATGCACCCACCAGGTGAGCAGTAGCTCTCTGCTCTTTCCTGTGTGCAGGAGAAAGAGACAGAGGCAGAGAAGTGTTGGAGCATCCCAGGAGTTGCTGTAGTGTTCCAGGAACTATATTTGGGTGTCAGCATCCAGTTTTTCCTTTCATTTGAAAGGAAAAAAATACTAGCTGAGGACTGCATAGATTTAGTTGAAGCTCCCTTCTGTGCCTGTACGTTTGCTGTGTGACCTTGGAGAAGTGCAGTAGTCTCCCCATGCCATAGTGTCTCATCTGTAAGAGGAAAGAATACTTCTCTCTATCTCACTTCTGTTGAAAGGAGACCTCAGAGAGCCTATGGTGATGAGTCTCTCTGAGACAGCTGTTTAAAACAAAGACAAAAAGAAGGGCTTGGAAGGAAGATGCCTTAAATTTGCCTTTTCTCTTTCTAACTGATCCAGGCATCTGTAAAGAGCATTAAATGACACCTTCGATATGTGATATTTTTCTTAAAAAGGTTCTCAAGAACAATGGTTCTGTCATAAACACTCAACAATAATAAATATATTGTAAGAGATTTGCTTAGTTCTGATTGTGTTGTCAAAACATCCTTGAACTATTGTAAAAGTGGCAGAAACTGACTGCTTTTTTGTCTGACTGCAGAGAGGCATAGATGAGGCTAGAAACACCGTGGTGACTGAGTTTGCTCCTTAGGGAATTAACTCACCTGACTGAACAGTGTGGCCCAGGACCGCTGCCACTGCTGATCATCTCTTGTGGATCAGAGAGGACTTAATTTTCTAGGACTGTCCTTTCAGCACCTTTCATCACATGCAAGTGCTCTAGGTTTCCCATCTGATGCCAGTCACAAGACATTGCTCTGCTTTATAAGTTGTAGCGAAGTAGTCTTGCAAACAGCTGAATAATTTTACCATCTTTATATTGGTAACTGAGCTAGGAAATTTTTAACCTTATCTTTCCAGTATTGGTGAGAGATAATTATTTTTCTATTTATTTAAAATACACTCCATGCCAGATTTTCTTCTAATCACTGGAGATACCTATCTATGTCTCTGCATCTCTGCATTGTGGTGATAAGTGAAGCCTGCAAATGTGCACAGAACAGATGAGATGCATTTGGCCTCCAGGAACTAAAAATCTGTAAAGAGCCATATGATTCAGGCATCTAGGCTGGAATTTCAAGCTGCCTCCTGACAGCCACTGCCGCTTCCCATTCCCCTTTTCCCTACCAATGAACTCCACTGGGCAGCAAGAGCTCAGTGCCTCTCAAAGTCAGGCTTGCCATGAATGCAGTGGTTATCACAGGCACTTGATCACAGGACAGTGTAACATATTTCACTTTAAAAATATAAAAGAAATAAAATTAGAAATTGCTACAGCATTCCTTGCTTTGGTAGGGGGAAGAAAGTGGGGTTCCAGAGGGAGTTGAGTGAAGATGAGTGTGAAAGTCAGGTAGACTAGAAATAATGAGCCCCTACTTTCAGGGCTCTTATGGGAAAGTAAGGGCAAGACAAAAGAGATGCTGAAAACTAAGGTTGTGAGGTGGAGCAGCATGAAGAGGGCAGGTATCTCAAGGGTCATGGGAGCTCTTTTCAAACATGTTTACCCATGGTGCTGATCCCAGGCTTTGGGAATTATGTGAAAATACTTAAACTTACCATCTGGGTGTCTTTCTTCCGTCCAGAGAGGGGTGGAGGCAAGAGCTGGAATACTGCATCCAGTTCGACCAATGGTTGTCTCTTCTGCTTCAACTTTGCTGCCATCTGACCAGTTTCTTCACTCAACACCTCTCCAGGAAGACAGGCAGAACAAAGTTCAGGAACATGTCTAGAAATTGAGTTGGGAGTTTGAGGTATTAAAATATTTGGGTCTGCTGAGGGGCTTGAAAAGTTGTCCCAAGAGCCAGACTTACATAAACAAACTGGCTTTGATGTGACTAAAGCATATTCCGGACACGTTCCTGCCTGGGATCAGATCCCTGGCTACTTTTTGTATCCATATGGCATATCTATACAGAGTGCCAGGATGCCAGCATTCCTGGAAGGCCAAAGCTTAAGAGCTAGATTTAATTTCTGAGCCATGTAGAGACATTTCGCATGGACACGAGCTGTTCTCAGGCACCTTTTGGAATTCCAGAGTGAGTTAAATTGCCTGTGCAGATGTATCCAGAGCAAATAGAGAATTAGAGGCAGAGGCACAGGTGGAAAACAGCATGTCCAGAATGAGAATTTTTGGTTAATGTCTCGAGGAGAGTGAAATCAATTTGCTCAGTGCCTTTTAACCTGGGTATATCTAATACCATAGTCTCAGCTGGAGTGAGACTGTAGCTTCCAGTAAAGTATCAGCATTTAATACCAAGGAACTTTGTCCCTGCTGAAGTTGGAGTCTTTCTCATTGAAAGTTTGTCACATGTAAGAAAATACTCCAAGTTTTCTCACTTGCCTATTTTTTTGGCTCCAAGAAAAATGAGAGTGACAGTGAAGTATTTGCATTAATGTAATCAGTGCCCAAAGGTTCAGGATCTGAGTCGAAAATGAAACCATGCAAAGAATGCATTGTCTCACCCATATATGCAAATATTACCATATTGGGCAATAGCTGTGGTGTGGGGGTGAAAAATAAGGAATCATTTGAAATGTGCTATTGGTCACATCCTAGCAATATTAGTTTTTTCTAGGTTAGAATATAGAAATCGTATGTCACTTGACAGATCAAAGGTAATTGTCTGATCCCATCTTATTGATAGCAATGGTAGCTTTACATTAATTTCATTGCCATTGGATCAGCTCCTGAATTTGCTACAGCACTTCCTTCTGTTATTTCTTACAGGGTTAGAAATTTCTCTTTGACCCACGAGACTAAAAATGCTTATTTTATTGATTCCTCAGTGAAGAGAGATTAGAGCTACTTGTGGTTGTGAGAAGTAGTAGGTCCTTTGAGGATGTAAGAGTTGGTCAGTCTCAGTTTAAGCAGTACTGGTAATGTTGATAAAAAATATTATGTTGCTGATGCAGGAAAGGAGTCCTACGGCTTGGATTTACTCCATCAGAAAAGCCTTTCTGTAATACCAGAGCAGCAGAGAGAGCTTTTCTCATACAGAGGATATGAATTTTTTATTGGTGAAAGAAAAATCTGAAAAAATCATTATGAGATGGGTAGAATTTTCCTTTTCCTACTGAAAAGTAGGAAATGTTATGGTACATGTTTATAAAATACCAGCTGATCAGGAAGGCAGGGCAGCACATTGCTCCTTTTGCACTGCTGATGAGCACAACTTGGTGTAATCTTTATAAAATCAATAGAAAATGTTGGGCTTTTGTTGGGTAAAGGTGCTGGGGAGGTGGTGTGAGATGAGCTCTGGAGGACCTGCTTAGTGGAGCCTTGTCGAAGGGGGCCATCTACTGGGCCCCAGCCCCGAGCCTGGGGCAGTCACCAAGGAGGAACCTCAGGTACAGTTCAGCAGGGACCATCCTCAGAGAGATGGTCAGAGATTTTCAGGGGGCAAAATCCTGATTAGAAAAGTCAGCTCATCAAAACCAAGGCTTTTTTGCAAGATACATTGAGTTTTTTTCTAGTAATACAGTGAAATCTGGCGAAGCTTCAAAACTGCAAAAAGTTTTGACCTTTATTTAAGGGGAGAAAGTGTTAGAGGAGAAGACTTCTTGTTTCTGGTTTAATGGAGAGTTTTATTCTTTCAAAATAGACACAAATAATAGTAAGAATAAATTGAAATAGTCAAAATAAAAGGGGAAAAATTTTACTAAATGAAATTGTTTTTACCTGGTTTCTGATGCCCACACTGTATGTGACATTTAGTCCCTTCAAACAGCAGGGGGGAAAATTTGCATATAAAATGCATTTTACGAACAGGAAACAGTTTTGTCACCCTGTTTGTTTATCATCAGTGAACTTGTACACTCTCAGCTCTGCATCCTTTATGAAGAGACTTGATAGGCTGAAGAGACATTCACTGCTGTGCTGTAAGATAATACCCCAGCTGTTATTTATTCTGCATAGAAGAATTCAGGTCTAACCTGTAAAGCCCTGAAGAAAGTGAAACGGAAAGTAGACTGATATTTACTTTTTAAAATTTATTCCTCTTTAGTTTCTCTGCTTGCTCTTGCAAGAAAGTCAAGCAGGCAGACCAACTGACTGATAGTGCCACTGCAGTTGTGGTGGTTGGAGCACATGCTTGGTGAGTAGCAAGTAGTAGGGGTTAAGTACTCCCCAGTGTGCAACTTCACCTCTTGCTCTAGTTTAAATATAAATCCTCCTTTGATTAAACATTGCTGAAGCTTAGAAGTGGAAAAAAATAAAGCAACAGCTTAAGCATGGAGCGGAGAGACACAAAGGCATCTTGGAATTGTGGCTGGGAGGGAGAGCACACAAGGTCCTGGGGAGGGATGCATTGGGCTGCACTATTGGTTCAGTGAGGGGTATTTCTACATTCTGCCAGGATACTCATCACAGAACACAGCAGGAGGAAGGGGTGGAAGGTAGGGCAGTGGAGGTGGCTGTTGTGATGTGCCAAGAATCCTTCCACTCCAAGCAGTGAGTGCAGCAGGCAAGGAAAACAGGATTTGTCTTGAAACAATACAGTTAGGACTTCAGGTGGTAGGTTTTGAGGGTCCTTCCACCCCAGAGAGACAAGAGAGCCCCTCAGTTCCCCACTACCTTTGCTAGTGTCATAAGTAACATCTCCCCATCTTGTTTTTCCATGGGATCCTCACAGTAGTCACTGTCTTGCTGGGCAAGGCAGGCTGACTGCAGCTGTTGCATCAGCATACTGAGTAACTGCCTCATTGACCATCTTCGCTGGAACAAAATCCTTGCAGGGTTATGGTTTTTTCCCTCTCTCTTAAGATGGTAAACTATACAATGTCCTCTATGTGAGAGACAGAGTCTGTCTTTATAACGGATGCAAGTCATTACTCGTGTTGTTCACGTTGTAGTGCAATGGTGGTGGGCCCCACTTCAGAAGACTTTAATTCCCTTTACACACAGAATTTTCTGGCAGGCACAAACCAGGTGTTTTTGCCAGCTTGCTGATGTGCATGTGGTAGGGGCAAAGCACCGTTTGTAATTCTCTTTTGACATGTAGCCTATTGTGGCTGTGTTGTGCTGTGCATTGTAGTGCACTGACTCTGCATAGCAATACGTTGACTAACCACAGTCATTTGGTAAAAAGATTGGTGCCTTCCATCTCCTAGAAGACACACCAATGACATGCAACTAATACTTAAAATAACAGAGATAGACAGTAGCTCTGTCAAGCAAACCTTCAGCAGCAGGGCCCTTACAACCTTCTAAGCAATTCAGAACATATGACTTAAATAGCTATGGCACGGCCTGAGTAGCCTAATAAAATGACCTCTTACCATCACAAATTCACAAAGAAGGTGAGAGCAGATAAACAGGTCAGGATGGAGGCTGAGCTGAAGAGGGGGGGGGCATGTTCTCGACACTGAGCTATGCATGGCATAAAATTTCAGCATGAAGAGAGCGATTGCAGTTGTAGTGTGGGTTTTTGTTGGCTGACTCTATACTTTCCTAGGATAGGTGGATTATTTTGAAGCAACAAACTGAAAAGGCTGCATGTTACTACCTTTTCAGAGACCTGGAACAGAGTTTTTGTTATGTGAGGTAAAGCTTACGTGCCCCCGTTAGACACCATTTGCTTTTTCTGTGATTCTGGTGTAACTCAAGGTATTCTAGGGGAAAAAAGATCCTTTTCATGCAATGCTGTCACATCCAGCTTTTGGGCTGGGCCTTCAGCAAGTAGAAATCATCTCAAGTTGCATTGTTATAAGAGTTGTTGTCCCTGTCCTTGTCCTTGGCTATTGAGGTGGTTTCAGCATTAACACCTAATTCAGCATCTTTCTTTTTTTTATTTCCTCTCATTTTTTGTTCTCAACATCTGCCTTCAGCCCCTTTCCATTATCAGATGCCCACCTTAGTTTCTTGCCTGGTGCCTGTGCACAAACTGTCTTTTGTTTCCTCTATCAGACTTTTCCTGGCTGGAGACAATAGGGACCCATGTCCATCTCTGCTGTGCACTCAGGAAAGTGATGTTATGTTAGAGAGCTGTCTCCAAAACCTGCTTCTACTTGTTCAAAGGCATGGTCATGCTCTGTGTCTGCACGTTGGACAGATATGAATTTTTCTTTTGTGTCCAAGTTTGAGAACAAGCTCTTCAGGACAAGGTGGGAATAGGATACTACTCATAAACTCATAAATGTGCAAAGCAATGCATGTTTTATCAGCTGCTGTTTCAAAAGGGAGGGCATAGCCCCATGCAGTAAGGGTTGAAATGCCTTTCTCGATTAGTACTTTTAATTCTGTGTCTATGGATTCACTGCCACTTCAGTAACCTTCTCCCCTCCCTCTTCTGGAGAATTAAAATACACCTACCCACATATGCAGGCAGGCACACAAGCTGACCAGGAACACATACTGACTCCCAAAACTACTAAATCACATATGCTGCCACGACTGTGCTTGCAGGAGGGAAAGCAATTACCAGGCCTGGACTGAGCTTAATAGGAAGGGGGCAAGACTTTTAATAGTATTTTTCTGTGTAAGCACAAACATCCCCAAAACCTGTGGCTGAGTTATAGGAATACAGTAAGCTTGCTGAGTAGGCAAGTGCTGCGTCAACAGGTAAAAGCTCTCAGTCCTCATAGTTTGTGAGCAGGGAAGGCAATACCTCAGTCTGAACCTCACACAGATAACTCCTGGGTTACTGTGAGGTGGGGAGAGTAGCTGAGTCCTTAGAGGGAGCTGGAAGGAGAACAGCTGCTGACGAGCAAGAAGGCTTCGAGTAGGGGGAATGCTAACTCTGCTGGGTTGAATTTTCAAAAACCTCCATTTTGGATTAGCGCATATCTTTAGGCCTGTGAATCAACTGATTTTCAGCATGAGCTGGGCCTTTGATGTTCTTGAAATTCCCACCTTTAATCTCTGGGGCAGGCTATGGTACAGCAGGTGCTGAGCTCTGGGTGTGTGTGATTAGCCCCAAGTGACTTCTCTGCCTGCTGTAACATTAACTGCAGTTGTGCTACCTTTCCTAAATACAGAAATCCAGCTGCTTTCAATGGGACTCCTTGTGTCCTTGAAATGATGCAGCCTGATGAATCAAGAGGCTGATCTCTCGGGCCCTAATCCTGCAAATATTTACCCATGGGCTTTAACCCTGTTACTGGAATAGCCCAGTTGACTTTGGGAGATGAGACATGTTAGTTCTGCTGAGCGCTTGCGTAAGGCCTGGCAGGACCATAGTTCTGGTCCTTTTCAGGTTCCAATCCATGAAATTAGTTTAATACCCTGCTACAGTCCCTTTCTCTGGAAAGGTTTGAATTTGAGGTCACTTATTTGTTTAAGCAAACAGTTATACTTGAATTTCTTATTGTAACCAAGGAACTTTGACACTCTGAAGGAGAAAAATTCTCATGGTCCTTACTTTGACAAGCCCTCAATCAAATTGGTGAAAAATATATCCATTCTAAAACAATAAATAGCACAGATTACACAGAAAATTACCTTTCCAGTTCTACAGCTCAACCTTCCCATGTCAAGTGTCATCTGAGAGCAGGTATTTCCAGTTCAGCAGCTCAGCCACTTATGTAAAGAAGGGACTGTAAAAGAACAGTTAGACCTTATCAGTTGTCAGAAAACTCTTTAGTGACTTGATTTTTCTTTATAAAATGTAATAACTGTCAGAGATAAAGAATATATCTCTCTTCCCAACTGGCAGCCAAGGGTAGCTGCAAAGGGCAAGCAGCATGGATACTCATAAATGTGTGATTACAGGCATTTCTACTGATGGAGAGGGGAATATTGATGCAATATTAGTCATTTTTATTGGCTTAATATTCTTCTTTCGTAGCAGCATATCCAAACTGCTACATCTTTCTTCACATACGGTCGTCATCCATCTAAGATATGCTATTACTCTTTCCATTTCTAATCCAGAGCTCTCCAACTCCTTGTGAAAAGGCAGAATATGAGGGTTTGGTGTTGTACATCTTTCCTGTTGATACATCCCTGCCCCTGGAAGAATCACTTTCCAATTCCAGATTGTTGTGCAATACCTCCATCTCCTTCTCTATCATCTGCCCTGTTTCAAGTGACTGTAGCAGGGGCCTCTTGAGACATGTTTTTCACTGTGAGTAGAATGGACATGGTTGTGGGTCCTTCCTGGGACACACCAGGATCCTGTGACGATAGCCCAGGGAAAGTCTGTGTGATGGTAACTTGTTTGTGAATGCATCACCCCAAGGCATTCTTTAAAGGAAAAGGTAATAGGTTTTCAATCACAAGTCTTGGGAGCAAGGTGGTCAGTTGCAGTTTGTGAGTGCTGACAGAGAGACTTTGGAACGGACAAGTGGAAGGGAATCCACCAGTGCTCCTTTAGCACTGTGAAAAATAAATATGGCAAACAATGTCCTTGGAAGGAAACTGTTCTCAGTGTCTGCTCCACCCACCTTTCCTTGGGTAAGAAGCGATGCTGAGAGTAGGCAACAAACAGCTCCATCACAGACTCAGACTGGATTTAACAGCTCTTCACTGGACCAGACTAGGCAGAGTGGGAGACTGGAGAGAACACTCTATGGGAAAGAGATCTCTCTCTGTTTAAAGTACACACTCAAGAAGTTAAGATTCCTTTTTCTCCATGTCATTTCTGTTCCTGTTGGGGCTGTTTCCACCATTAAGCCTAATTACTTAGCTTTTTATGTGCTATCCATTTCTTTTCATCATTTTAAAAACTTCAGTTGCCATAACAACATAATGCAATCAGTGAAACATAACAGCTATTTTCTGTAGTCAAGGTCTGTGCACTGTCAAGGATGTGAGCCATTTAAGCAAATCTTCACCATCCCCCTTCCTCCCTCCTCCTTCTCACTCTCTTTTTCTCCCTAAACAAGCTCATAACAGGAAGGAGAAACCATCAGGAATAATTAGACACAATAGCAGAGCAAATCCCAATCGTACTCATGCAGTCTAGTCTAATGAACTTCTAGCACTAATCTGGGAAGTGTTGATGTTCTTTTTTAATCACTTTTTTGATGTCGTAGATAGATTAGTTGCAGCAGGACCTTGATATTCGACACTAGAGTCAGGAGACCCAGTGCCTATTCAGAGAAAAAGAAAATCAAAAGCGTTACATACTTTGCTCATTTCTTTGTTTTTCATTCCTCATTTTCAGATGCTTATTGAGTATATATGCCCATTGCACCATATTAGTAAATAGAATGGAGTGTATTTTGTAGATTCATGGAATTTAAGCATGAAAAGTCATAGCATCTATTATTAAATCATTGCTGGAAGGCTGGGAGAAACCGCCACGTTTTTGTGTGGGTGGTGAGACTCGCAACAAAGCATAGTATAAGTGCTGGGCTTCTACTGCACACATACATAAAAAGCAGTCTGAAAATAAATCTGGCAGTCTGGTTCAGTGCTATTCTAAGCAGTGTGAATATAAGATCTATCCACAATGTCTTACTCACTCCTTGACCTCCATGAGGGCTTTCCTGGAATAGTAACGAGTGAGTTTTGAAGCCTGGGATTTGGCTTAAGCAGCCTCTCTCTGGCAGAGGACTGAAGGATGTGCTTTGCCTTTATGGAGCTAGTCTGCCACAGGCAGAGTCTTCTAGTGATTTCGAGTTGATCATTGCCTGATCACTCTTTCCACTTGTCTGTTTGTGTTTCAGCACCTTGTCCAAGCAAAGGAAGAATGTCATCAGCTGTGTCACCGTGCATGACTCCCCCTACTCCGATTCCTCCAGCAACAACAGCCCTTACGCCGTGCAACATCGTGCAGGGCAGAATAACGGGAACAGCTACGACACCAAAGGGGTTCCAGAGACTCACTGCAGTGGGAACCCCCGAACCATCATCGTGCCACCACTGAAAACCCAGGCCAGTGAGGTGTTGGTAGAGTGCGATAGCCTGGCACCAGGTAAATTGCACCTCTTCCGTCAAGAAAATTAGTAAGAAATAAATGATTTATCTTGGAAGAATCTCATTGTTCAGTTTCATTTTGTTTGTTTGTTTGTTTGTTTTGTTTTCCAAAAAAACCCACGTGCTCCTGCCCTTCTCTCAAGTGACACATCTGTTCTTGGGAGCCATATTGCATTATTTATGTGCCCTGGTTCACTCAGGAGTCACAGGGGCAAGTGTCGGACCCAGTTAGTTCTGTACAAACCCAAGAACAGAATGCAGCCTGTAGCTCAACATTTGATGTTAAAGGCTCACAAATGCAAGTGTGAACCTTTGCTGCCTTGCCTTTCCATAGGTGTATTTTAAAATGGGTAAGAGATTGAAAACACATGTGAATTTTCATCCAAACTTGTTGACATTTCTGGGAAGAACATTTCCCCAGGATCTTCATTATGGACTGATGAGGTTTGCTCATCCAGAACCTCTGCAATGCTAGATAGTAGGATGTGTTGAAAAGAGGTTTATGGTGGAAGTCTGGCATGAAGCAACTGGCTTTGAGCTACTTGGCAGTCTTTGCTTTTGATGCACTGCTGGTGAACACAAAGGTTCAAAGGGTGAGCCCCCCCACTAGCACCTTCTCCTTCCCTTCCCACTCACCTTGATGTTAGGCAAGACAGGGTTTTTTTATGCTGTGCACACCATACTTTCCTTCCTCTCCTTGGGATTTGTACCTGCGTTGTACAGTTCTGCTGGCAGAACAGTTTCTTGCACTTCTGAAGGGTCTATAAAGCCTTCTTCAGGCCTGCTTTGGGTCCAGTTATCAGGTCTGCTTGTCTGCCTCTAGGATAACGGGCTGGTCGTGTATACGAAGCACTGCTGAGGTATTCTGTTAATTAAGAGAAACAGTTTTCTTACCCTGCTTCTGTTGTATGTCTCCTCCCAAAAGCCACTCTGGAGGAGACTCAGTGAGGAAAAGGTAGGGTGAGCAATTAAAGAATGTGATGTAAGCTACAAATGTGTTTCCTTTCCTGGCACAGTCACCACCAGTCACCACTCATCCTCCTACAAGTCCAAGTCCTCCAGCACCGTGACCTCCACCAGCGGTCACTCTTCAGGGAGCTCGTCTGGAGCCGTTGCCTATAGGCAGCAGCGACCAGGAGCACATTTCCAGCAGCAGCAGCCTCTTAATCTAAGTCAGGTAAGTCAACCAAGACTGATTTTGGTGGTGCATCATCCAGCTGTTCCCTACTGCTCCTGCAGCACGGGCTGTCCCCTTCCAGTCTAGTGATAGTTGAGCCCCATGTTGAGTTTGATCAGCTGGTTTTTATTTGACTGCAGAGCTTGATCCTCCCACTCAGGCAGCAGAGGTAGTGCAGATCACACCCTTGAGTGGGCTGGTGGTACCCTTACCACATGTTCTGAAGTCAGATGTGAGTGGGAATAACAGTGTGAGTGGGAATAACGTGAGAGGGAAGTGCAGCAGCTTGGCCCCAACAGAGTTGAGCAGGAGCACATAGGAAGGACTGAGTTCTCCTTAGCTATAGGTAACCATGGGGAGGGTATCTTGCAAGTGAAGTGCATAAGCCCAGCTGTGGGATTGGAAGAGAAGTCAAAGCAAAGCCTCTGTGTGTACACATGACCTCATGAGCATATGACCTCATTGTGCGTATACGTGACCTAGGAGTTTGATCCATCCTGTGATAAACGTGAGCTGAGATCTGGGCAAATCCCATTTCTTGGAAGCATGCAGTTCTCAAAATGTTTCACAGTCTGTGATTAGACAGGAGCTTCAGTAAATAATCGCCTTTTCACATCCTGCACCAGGGGCCTCTTTCTTCCCTGGGGTGAGGTAACAAGAGTAGAGAAGTTACAGCACAGTTGCCAGTGTTTCAAGAGGAGAAAGTTTGGAGAGCTCAGAGGACAGGTGGATGAACAGAGCTGTTTTTTAAAAAGAAAAGTAATTTGATGGAGAAGAATGTCCCCTCCCCCTCAAAATGCAGATGAAATTTTAAAATGTGAACAAATTTTAAATAAAAGTGCATGAAAATGGAGGAACTGGGCAAGATGCTGTTTGCAAGAGCTGGGGAGGAGTGTGGCTGCTGCATTTCAGACCACAATGACAGCGCAGGGCGTGCTTACAAAGAGGGTGAGAAGGTTTGGAAGAATAGACGGAGATAGCATGGGGCATTTTCCTTCTTGTCTTCTAATTCCTACTTTATGGGTAGTTTAATGATCTGACTACAAATGACAGGGAAAACTCCTTACATTATTGTGCAGTGCAAGAAAACAACTTAGAAAATCCCTGGAAAAAAAGTGCATTGCTCCTGTCCCACTGCAAGAAGTTGCCTGTGCTCAAGTAACTATAGCAGATTACACGAGGGCACCAGACACCTGTAGGATCTGATCAAGCCAAGGGTTGTATCTCTAAAAAATAACATGGTTATTTTTACTAACCAAGGAAATTATTAACTGCAAACACCCAAACTGAGCAAAAATAAACTGCCTGTTCCAGGCATAGTAAGGCAATTTCATTCCCCTGAGCTATCTGCACAGTACATTTTGTCAGCAGAGAGTTCACTAACAAAAACCATGTTTTGTGTGAACAACTGGACTTGTGGAAGATGTTCTTGGGAGCTGAGCATCCAAGGCTTTGTCTTTGTGGTAGCTGTGCCAGCAGCTTGTGGCTCAAACTGAGGGACTTGTTGACCTCTTGGGGGGCATTTCAGTCAATGTAAGAAACTACAGGGGTGATGTCTGAAACCTAGGCTTGCGAGGGACTCATTGCTGTCACCCATTTCCAAGGGAAGACTGGTGGTGCTGCGGGTGTCAGGAGGAGCACAAGAGACTTCCCTGAGGCTGTCCTGGCATTGCAGGGAGGTTCCCAGGCACTATTGAGGAGGTGAAGAGCCATCTCTTGTGTTGTAACTGCTTATCACTGTTGCTGTCTTTATCCAGGCCCAGCAGCACATCACGACCGACCGCACAGGGAGTCACCGGAGACAGCAAGCCTACATCACTCCAACGATAGCTCAGGCCCCGTACTCTTTCCCGCACAATAGCCCCAGCCATGGTACAGTTCATCCCCACTTGGCCGCGGCGGCCGCTGCTCACCTGCCCACCCAGCCCCACCTGTACACATACACCGCCCCCGCCGCCCTGGGCTCCACGGGCACCGTCGCGCACCTGGTGGCCTCCCAAGGGTCTGCACGGCACGCGGTGCAGCACACCACCTACCCCGCCAGCATCGTCCACCAGGTCCCTGTCAGCATGGGCCCGCGCGTCCTGCCCTCACCCACCATCCACCCGAGCCAGTACCAGGCTCAGTTTGCCCACCAGACCTATATCAGTGCTTCTCCAGCCTCCACAGTCTACACTGGATACCCACTGAGCCCTACCAAGGTGAACCAGTACCCTTACATCTAAACACTGGAATAAAAGAGCGAGAGACGCACCCATCCCGGGGGGAGTGAGGCAGCCGCTTTTGTATTGAAGAACATGAGAAACTTAACAATGCAATGGGAGGCTCGTGTGAAACTTGAACGAAGGAGACTTTAAGGAAGAAAAGAAAAAGAGGAAAGAAGGGGGAGAACCAATTCTACAATTTTTATTTAAAAAAAAAAAAAAAGAAAATGGAAAAAAAAAGAACAGAAAAAAAAAATAAACCACAAAAAACCAACCATTCTGCACCAAACTAGAGAGAAAGAGAGAAGCAGAAGGACCCTCCAGCGGGTCTTGTCTTTTGAAGAACTTCACCAACAGACTTTTAAAGGTTATTTTCATCCAATAGTGAGCTACATTTAGAAATTTGTTGTCCAAAACACCTAAAATGAAATCCATTAGGTTTTTAATCCTATAGGTATATGGATTAGGGATTTATCCAGCTTTTCAAAGGGTTTATACCCCACCTTTGCAGTGGTTTTTGTATCCCAAAGTATACACAAGTTTTGGTGGATTTTTAATGGAAAAAGAAAGTGGGTAAGAGAGGCTGAGGTAGGCGGATAAAATGTTGTCCCAGTGCTCTAAATTTGGACCTAACACTGCTACATTTAAACGCACCTGGGCAAATCCAGCCATGCAGCATTGGTTGAGAGCAGAAGCAATGGGGGTATTTCTCCCTTTTCTTGAACACACTGGATAAATCCCTGAGAAATACTGTTCCTAAACAAGATCTCTAATAATGTATGTTGGATTTCAGTTGCGTTTTATTTTAGGGTTTTTTTCGGAAATGTTCCTTTTTAAATCCCTAGCCGTTTTAGTATAGGAGGAGACATTTTAGCTGCCCCCAGCCCTCTGCCCCCAGCCCCGGTAGAATGTAGCACTATACAGGTCATACCCCTTTTTACTCTTTTGTGTTGAACTTCAACGATACCAATAGACTATTCCTCAATGTGATTGCACAAAGAAAAGTGATATAACATAGGCATGTAACAAATGTGATTGTCCAGGTATGTGCGTGTGCGTGCGTGTGTGTGCGTGTGCGTGCAGATGCTGCCTTCTCTCTGTGGTGTGTTCCTCGGCACAGCCATTACAACTGTCACAGTCTTAGTTTTACATCATTCCCTCGTAGTGCCTTACCGAACTACAGACGCGGTTTAAGGGTTTACTTCCACTGGTACTCCTAGAAACTGACTGAGGCTAGTCGGAATTTACTCTCAGCTCTTTTTCTTCTCTTTTTTTCTCTTTTCTTTTTTGGTTTTTTTTTGGGTTTTTTGTTGGTTTTTTTGGGGGGGGTTGTTATTGCCGATTTTCTCCTTCTGCTGGTGGTGTTGGGTTTTTTTTCACGTCGTCAATCTTAGCTCACTTGGCGAGGTGTTGGGGAGGCTCACTGGGGTCAGAAGTGTGTATAACTGAGTGTTTTGTCAAGCACTGGATGGGCTGGAAGTGACCGGGTCAGTTGTGAGACCCAGGGTGACTTCCAGGGGGTCTGGGGATTTGTTTCTGGACTGGTCTGTTTTTGTCCTGTTGAAATAGCAGGTTTCCTCCCCGGAAACTGAATTCTCATTCTGCTGTTTGACGATGTTCTTGATGGAGTGGGAGGACAGCGTCCACCCTCATCATTGGGTTGTCCTGGTTGTGTGTCTGAAATGGGAACAAACATTTAGCCCTTGAAAGGGGGAAACACTAGTTGTTGCCAACATCTCTCACTGTTGATGAGAAGGGGTCAGGAAAGGGCTGGAGTCCCAAAGCAAGCATGAGAAAATCCAGTTGAGAGAGTCAATCTCAGGTTTCTTAAGTGAAAAGAGTGTTTTAATACATCGAGCCTTACCCACTCTAACAGAGCTGTGACACTGTGTGCCTCCCCTCTTCTCTTCTCACCTACACCTCAAAAAACTGCCTGCAGCAGCAGAGTGACCCTGGAACTGGAGAGCACAGTGGTGCTGCAGTCCTCCACACGAAGGAATGCTACCCGGTTGTCTTGTTTTCCAACAGTTTTTAAAGAGAGCCTTTCCTGTAGTTGGTTTGGTTCAGAGGGGAGTTTTCCTGGTAGCGGCAGTTTCACTGGTGCATCAGTACTTGGAAATGTCTCAAGAGTACCCAGGCATGTGCGTGTCCTGAGAAGGAAGGAGAGAAAGGAATTTAGTAAAACATTTCCATGAAAGCTGAAGTCTTTGTGGCTATTTGGTTCCACTCTACATTTCCCTGTAACTAGAGCATGAAGTAGTCAGGTGTTTTGCAAGATGCTGGAAAATAGCAGGTTCATTGGCAGGGTGGTAAGGGATAGTTTCCCTGAGTGGAAGTGATGAAGAAGGCTCTCTCAGGTTGGAAAAGCTGACAGAAAGACAAGCACAGTATATTGGCTTGTGGTAACTGTTTGGCTGGCCTGGAAGAAGAAGGGATCCCACTATGCATAGGCTGTTCAACAAGGCTGTTGTCTTCTGGCAAACCACCAAATAACCTCCCTGGTTGCCAGCTCTGGTTCCTGGGCTACCCTTGCACAGTTTTCTTTTCCTGCCTATCCTTCATTCCAGCTCAATATACTGTAGATGAGGATGCAATCTCCCAGCAGCCTATGCACCTTACCCCCCCTTTCTTTGGAAAGACAACATGTCCCCTTTCACCTGAGACAGGAAAATAAAGCCCTGCTCTCTCTCTCTTGCATTCCTCTCCTCTCCCACCAGTTCGGGAGTGAGAGCGTCATGCTGCTTATGTCATGAAAAGGAAAGATAATGTTATTTTATTGTATGGTTGTTACGATTATGATTATTATTTTATTATTATTGTATTTTACTCTGGGTTTTAATTGCACACGCATTCCTTAAACTTTGTAGGGGTTTTTTTCTCTTAGTATTGTTGTTACTGTTCTTAATTTTATTTCTCTTCATCAGTGGCATTGGAAGGGTTGCTGTGATTGTGAGAACTGCAGGAGAAAGGAGGAATGAAATTATTCCGAGGATGAAAACTCTGCCACTAACCGGGGGGGGTGTGGGGCCACTCCGTGAGAGTGGTTACAGCCTTGAGGAACAGGAATTATCCTCTCGGTCACATCTGCATTTAAGAATAAGTCCAGAAAACATTCATTCAGAGGCCAAAACTCAACAGCAGCTAACATAATGATCTGTCAGGAGAGCTGGATCAGAGGCAGGTAAGGACCTTGGTGCCTCAGGATCCAGCTCACCATCACTCAGTTTGATAGGACATTTATATAAGATTAAGACTTGTTTGTGCTCCAGGCCAGGATCATTGGGCCCTGTGGATGAGTCCAAGGCCACACTACATGTTAAGGGTTTGGTTTTCCTGAAGGAGGAAGCAGATAGGTGGCTCTCCAGAAACAGGAGTATTGAAGGAGCCACGGCAGCCGCGCGTGCGGCTCAGTCCCATCACTGGATAAAGCACACTGGTGCAGATGGATGGCATCAGCTGGGTAAAGCATGGCTGCAGACAGGGCAGTGTTCCTCCCCTAATCTTCCACTTTCACTGAAGGTTAGATGTCCACAGGGTCAGGATGTTTGGTTTGATTTTTTTGTTGTTGTTTGTTTCTGATGTAGATTTTCCCTTCTTTTTTTAATTATTTGTTGTGGAATTTTGTTAAGCTGTTCTGGTTGCTACAGTTTAGATATTTATGGTTTCATTTGTGTTACCTGCTCTGTTAGAATAGGGGGAAGCAGTGACTGAATTTAAATTCCATTAAAAAATTACAGGACTTCAGCAGAGACTGAAAGTTAATCATGCGCTTGAGTGCTTTACTAAAGAACAGACTTAAACCCTTCAAGTTAAATACTTGTTTATTTGCTCCTGTAGCCTAGGGCCAGTGAAATCACAGTAATGTTTTACCTGTACTAATTGCATTTTCCCTGTGTTCCCACCCGACCTGCTCTCACATGTGGGCTCAGATCTGATTTTGGGGGCCTTTTGGCAGCAGAGCTGTTACAACAGCACAGGATGGCTGTGAGGAGGAGTGCAGTGCGTATGGGAGGAGCCACTTTTCACATTGTCCATCCTGGAGTTGCTGGTCTGCCAGCTGTAGGTGGTCAGATGATAGTGGTGATGGGATGCTGATTGCAAGAGATGCACAGCAGAACCATCAAATTGCTTTGATGGTGAAACACTGTGTGAGAGCTGTTTTCTGGCAGGTATGAGGGAGCTGAGCAACGCCTCCTCCCTCACACCTGTACAAAGGCATTGTATGGATAAAGGTGTGGTTGGTCACAGGGGAAGCGGTCATTTCAGCAGAGGAAGCAAAAGCTTTGCATGCTGTCAGTACCACACACATAACAGCCAGCTTGTTGTGTTTGCAGAATCCTTTGGAGAGGAAATAGGATTGGCATGATTTGGTTCAGTTGGTGTTCCTTGTGTGCATAGGGTAAATGGCATGGAAACTTGAGAGGGGAAGCGAATGTTTAAATGCTGGAAGTTTTATGGGTGGCTTATGGCTGGCACAGTGAGAAAGTGGTCCTTTTCCCCATCATCTTGTCTTGCATTCTTCTTGTGCAGAAAGCACGGATGTTGCCGCTCCTCGGAGATGGATGTTCAATTTCCTGCTGTGAAGCCAGAATGCAGGAGGGAGGGGAGAGAACTGCCAACATGAGCAGATTGGAAAAGCCAAATGGAAGCACTTCTCACTGTAGATTGGGTCAAATCCAGTCATTAGAGAGAGCAAATGCAATTCCATCTTCCTCAGCAGAGTTTTACCTGCTTGTACCCAACAAATTGGGCCTTGGCAGGTCTCTTACTCTCTCTCTTTCCCAAGTAGTTTTGTCACAATATGTAAAACATTCCAAGAAAGGGACACTTCTGACTGTGACATTTTTCCTTTTTTTATACTTTCAAGGAATTGTGTCTTTTTAGCTTGGTTTGAAGGCAATTCCATTAGCAAATCTGAAGGGCAATAAACCTGTTTTTTTCTTTAACCAAAGATACTTTTTTTTTAAGAAAGAGAGAAAGAGACCCCCACCTACTCCAGAAATTAAATGAAGCCACGAGTCATGAGCACCAGGCAATGAGGATACGCCGTGGAATTACATTTTTCTGTTCCCTTTTTTTTCTTTTTCTCTCTCTCTCTCAAGTTTCTGCCATTGTTTTGAGTACTAGCTTGATGAGCAGAGAAATTCACACTAAATATTGCTGCTATCCTAAACTGTAGGGGATGTCAAAAGTGTTTTTCTTCTCTCGTTATTGTTCTCATTGATTTAAGTGTTGTAGTGGTGACAATGCAGTGTGGAAATGGTGAGCTGTGTAGTGGGGATAAGCTTCTGGATGCTCTGCATGCTTCTGTAGTGTCTCCTTCTCTGGATTTAGGATGCTGGGCTTGTTCTGTGGGTTGGACCCCAAACAGTGATGCCATGGTCAGGACAGGCACAGCAGGGCAAGGGTATTGGACTTACACTCATGTTCTTCCATGGCTTGGCAATCAGCCCATTAGAGAACTGCAGTACTATTTGTGGGCCAAATCCTGGAAAGGTGTGCAGGGGATAGACAGTGCAGAAGGGAAAAATGTGGGAAGGAAATGTTTTCCCTCTTCCTGTTGACATAGCTGTCCCTGCTGTGATCCCATGTGCTGTGGGAGCCTCAAAGCAGTTCATCTGTGGTCCTGGGCACTCATCTACATCACCTCCCTCAGCGCTCCTGTGAGAAGGGCCTCTGTCTGAAGTTCAGGAGTCCCCATCCTACTTCTCAAGGCTCACTTACGTGCCTACAAATCATTTTGCCCTCTCCAGACTTAAGGAGAAGATGAGTCTGTGCTGCTGGGGTTCTCCCACTGCTGTACTCCAACAAAGCTGCCTCTGATGATGGTGAGAATTTCTCCCTAAGCTGTAGAGTTAGGTTTTTTTACACCATTTTGACACCATTTCACAGTGGTGCTCGAAGAGATGGTGGCAGTCCTGTTGTCAAAGGCTGTGTGTAGGCTCGTTGCTGGAGTACTGCATTGGATGAGAGGCACTGGGCTTTCCAGGCTGGTCTCCATCCCCGTGGTCCATCCTTCCCACCACCTGGGAACACCACTACCTGCGTGTGTTGCTGTGCTGCCACCACACTCACACCCGCCCCGGGCACGCAGTAAGACCCACTGCAGGGGCAGCCCCTGGAAGTAAGCCCGGGCAGTGTGCAGGGGAGCACTGCCAACCCAGGGCTCTGTGCTGAAGGTGTCTGGTTCCCTTGGGGCAAATGTAATCGCTGGGAATGACCCCCAAGGCAGTAGTTAGTTTTCTGTGAGGAGCTGCTGATGCAGGTGGAGGTGTGAGAACTCGTCTGGAGGTAAACTGAGGTGAGCTCTGCGTGTGTCACATGCTTTCAGTGGGAAGACGTGGGTTTAGAGCATTTGTGTGTGTTGAGAGTGAAATTTGAATGGTAGATTGGCTTGGTTCTTCAGAAATCTTAGGAAGCATACTAGGAGGCTTTGCATTCGGCATTTGTGGTTTGAAACTCCTGTTTCTCATTTACGGGTTAGCTTTGTCCTTCCAATTTTAGCAGTGCTGCTATAACAGACTATTCATGTGTGTTTGAAGATAAAGTTTTTGTTTTTAATCTTTTGCTTATCATAGTTAATCTAAGAAAGGCAATACTAAAGGTATATTTTTTCCAAAAATGATATTTTTTACTGCACTGATAAATATTGTGACATCTCTGTTCTTAACTCTTTCGCTGTGAGGGGAACTGTGTGCAGATTCACACAAACCTTGTAAATACTTGTGTGTACTTCTGACAGCCAGGGATTATTTTTCCTTCCTTTCTCCCTTCCTTCCTTCCTTCCTTCCTTCCTTCCTTCCTTCCTCCCTCCCTCCCTTCCTCCCTCCCTCTCTTCCTCTCTTCCTTCCTTCCACCCTTCCTTCAACCCTCCCTCCCTCTCTCCTTCCTTCCACCTTTCCTTCCACCCTCCCTCCTTCTCTTCTTCCCTCCCTCCCTCATTTCCTTCCTCATTTTCTTCCTTCCTCATCTCCTTCTTTTTTATTTTCTTTCTTTCAAACAAGGTTTCCTCTTGAAACAGAAAGCAATGGGGCAACAATGCTCAGCAAAAGCAAAGCTTATCCCACTTTCAGAACATAGCCAAGGAGTTTTTGCAGTGCTGGCATAGAGTTAATATTTAAGCCGATGTATTTTGATTTTTTTTTTTTTTTTAGCAAACTGTTTGGAAAGGAATAAGACAGATTAGAAAAGCTTCGGTCTGGAATTCTGATCAGAAATGTTATCCATCTATTTTATGGCACCTCTGATTTTCCTTCTGTTTTCTTTTTCTTTAAAAAAAAAGTAAAAAATGAAAAAAAAGGCTTGTTGCAGGCTTGCTCACCTGAGCTCTAGGCTGATCAGCAACTGTCCCAGGAGTGCCTCATGCTCTGGGACTGCCAGCTCCTTTGGAAGCAAACCCACTGATCAGGATTCTGGATTCTGATTGCTTCAAAGGGTATCCCCTGGTACTGTGGGATACCTTTGTTTTTTTAAAAGAAGGATTTAAATACACTTACATTACGCAAACTGTGACCTAATGGCAATAATTACCTCAAATGTGGGCATTCATCCTGGTTTTAGCCTTTTTGAAATCATGTAGCCAGCTTGAACTTTGATTCAAAGACTCTGAACTCCATAGGGGCGGAATAGCGATAAATGCCCACCCTGGTCATTGTTGCTTGAGTGAATTCTGAAGACAGTGAATCTTTAAAAAGAAAAAAAATTAAACCAAGGAATAGATTACTCTTTTATGTATTTTAATCAATTGTGATGTTAAAATGCACATGTAAGTATATATGTTTATAGCTACTGTAAAATGCTTTGGCCTTCTAGAAGATATTAATGAGTCACATTTTAAACCAATGTGAACTGAATAATAGACTGTGGCTACTTAACAGTTTTCTGCCTACATTTTATAGTTATTACAGTGTTTTATAGTTTACATTTAAACTGGTACTTTTTAAGGGAAATCTTGTGTTTATAAGTGTCACCTTCAAAAACTCAATACAGCTGCCTCTTCTTAATTTCACCCGTTAAAAATGGAAAAGTACAAGTGTGTTTTTAATATGTATATTCTGTTTTGAGATATAACATAGTGTTGGAAAGTCAGTCCAGAGATGAAGTAATCCACTGTATTCCAAAGTCTGATCAAAAAAACACTCCACCCACTTTGAAGATTTAGTTCAACAGATAAGCTATTTGTTTGTTCGCTTGTTTTAATAATGTGCTTTATCAGGCATCCCTGGGTTGAAGCAGGGATCACGACACGAAATTCACTGTTCTATGTAGGATCCTCATCTGGATGAAGATACCCACATCAGGAGAATGAAGGATATTCAAAGGAAGGATTGTATTGTACTATTGATAAATCATTAGCCAAACAATTAATACCTGAGGTAGTGAATGCCTGTTTTATTTTGGGGGATGGGGTTGGGGGTGTGTTTGTGAGCTTGTGTGTGTGTGTGTGAGCCACTCAGAGGCAATGCTGTAATTTGGCTTTCATCTGTTCACCCCTTTCTTACAAATTATGCTTACCACCACAGAAATGTTTTAAACCAGTAAACAAAATACAAAGTTCACTGACCATCTCCTTGTCAACTCTGTTTTCTCAGCCCATGCCAGTTCCTGATAATGATGTTTCTCTGCTGCTCTTACCCTGTAATTTGCATTTTGATATATCACATTCCCCACTCCCTGGTCTCACTCAGCCTGTCTAGTTTTTTCTGTTGTGTTCTTTCACTTGGGTAAACAACAAACATGGTATAAATGTCTGCTGGGCAAAATGGTACTTTGAGGTCATGAAAGTACAGGAACTGGCATTTAAAAATATGTATATGTACATCTCAGCTCCAGCAGTGGAGCTCGGGTACTCACGGGAGGGCTCCTTACGTGTTTCCACCATGCCTGGTGGGGCTGTATCAGTCAGCTTAGAGCAGAGGTAGTGAACAGGAGCAGCCGGCGATGCTTTGCACTTGGGCACCTGTGCTGCTCCCCCTACAATCAGCAGCGGTGGGGTCGGGGGAGTGCAACCCGCCTCCTCCTCCGGCAGCACCGTTCCAGGGGGCAGCCACGCCTGCCCCGCTGTCCACATTCCCAAAGCGATAAGTTATCATACGGTGAGCCAGGATTGTCAGCAGCACTCGGGCCAGCTGGAAAAAGCCCACCCTCCCTCACCGTTCACCACCACTCAATCCACAGGCTTTGCTGCCCCCGGCTCCTGCCTGGTCTCCTGTTCTTTTGGGAAGGAGTCAGAGTCGCAAATACCAGCACACTCAAATGAAGGAGCCAGAGAGTCTTGATAAATGCTTTGGCTTGCAGCTTGTTAGGGAAGAAGGGGTTTCCAACACTGGCAACGCACATCCTGTAGGATCTGCATGGTTACATATAGCACCTCTGCCCTCACAAGGAAAAAAGTGCTTCTGAACGCTCCCACCTCACGTGGTTACATACAACACTTCTGACTTTTCCCCTGTTATCCCTTATGTGTTTGATTTTTTTAATTTTCTTTTATATTTTTTTGCTCTGTATTCTTTAAACGAAACTTCCACAGATATTCCAGGGCACAACCATTTCAGGTGTAAAAAGGATCTCCACATCCCATGTTTCACCAACAAAGCAATCAAGGCGTTTTGGGTACCAGATTCTACTTGGGCAGAACCAGAATGTAGCCTGTATATTTCATACCAAATCCAATTTCTGAAAGGAGAGGAAGTGTCATTAATAGCTTTAATAAAGGAGTGTGTGTGAGAGAGAGAGAGAGAGAAAGAGAGGAAGCGAGAAAGAGAGAAGAAGGAGGGGCATCTTGGAAGGTGAAAAGTCTAGATTTTGGGTAGTTAAAAACGAACCAATGGGTGAAACATTTTTTTTATGAGCTGTAAAATCCTCTTAAAAACGGAAGGGGTGAAATGGAGGGAATATTTTATGCCTTTCGACTGCCCACAAGCCCAGTGTACTCTGGATGGAAAGTGGAAGTTAATATACACTGCACCAAAATTATTAAGGGGAAGGGGGGGCGGAGCTGTGAAATGCTATTGTAATCACAAGAGAAAAGATGCCCCTGCCCCAGCTCTGGATCTCAAGTGGTTCTTTCTCTACAGTATCATCTCAGCCCAGTAACCCCACGAAAGCCCTGAGCCGTTGTGTTCCTTCACTGTACGGTTTCTGTAATAAGAGTGTTAATCCATGTTAATCTTTGTGAAAATTATTGTGTGCAACAGTATTTTCTTGTGTACTGCTTTTTACCTATGTGAATTGTCCCTTTTCTGTTTTCTTTTTTCTTTCCTTCCTCTTTTTTCTTTTTTTTTCTTTTAGTAATACGTCTTTCTTCTTTTTAAAGAAAAAACAAAAACAAACTGATGTGTTGTAGACCTATATGTAACCTATTCCTTAGTCTCATATTATAGGTATGTAATAAGAATGGATATTTTACTTGGCTTTAGAATGTTTTACAAGAAAACTAATTCTTAACCAATCAAGTTCTTGCTACTAAAAAAAAGAAAATGCTTGTGTTTTTCATCATGACGTTGTGTGCTTCTAATTAATAATCATTTTCGTTGTAGAAAAATGGAGTGAATTTATATTAGTCTTGGAAACTAATAATAGCATTGTAAATTTATGAGATGATTTTAACAGAAAATACATTATAGAAGAATATAGTTATTTTAATTGTAATATTACTAACTGTAGGGTGAGAAAGGAGGTCCCGTTGTGGTGAACTATGTTATAGCTTGTTATTCACGGTTTCTTTTTGATCATTTTTTCGGTCTCTGAGGTGAAACGAGTTATTAATCAGAATTTGTCAACTCACATATGCATATTGTATATGTGTAGAAATGTAATCACACTTTGTCTTGGAATTACATTAAACTGTTTTAAGTCACTGCAAAGTTTGTGTGTCTGTATGTCTTCTCGCTAGTTTGATCTGAACGTTTGGTTAGTTTTCAGATCCTATTATTTAATCTCCTCAGTCTATTGGAAAAACAGCACTAATAGTATCATTAATAATAAAATAGTTTTCCCTTTGAGGTGACATGTTTAGATTTGTGAGATGTATTTTTTTCCCCGGGCAGAAGAGCATCTGCATTCAGATGCTTTGCCGAAGCACAGAAGGCTGCACAGAGCTGCCGTGTGCAGCTCTGTCAAGAGCTCTCTGCTACGTCCCACGGTACCGATTGGAGTGTGAATATCAGCTGCAAATGTAGGTCTGGTTTTCCTTTTAGCCTGAGCCCCCATTTCATTTGCTCCCTTTCTTTTCTTTGCTAAGTCCCAGCTGAGCTTTGAAAGGCTTAAGTAGACATTAAGATGCTGAAACCACCACCTGTTGGCAATTGCCATACCTGCCTTTTGGGCTGTGCCTGACTCTCACCGTGAGGTTCACTCAGGAGCAAGGTGGAGGCATCTGCAATGAGTCCCCTGTTGTACCATAGCATCACCTCGGAGGAGGCCAGTGGCTCCTCAACAACTCCTCTTAAACGGAGGGAGTGTAAGACTGACCTGGATTTGTTGTTGACCTTTCCCAACATAGTGACTCATATGCAAGCTACTAGGTTTCCAGCCTGTGGGATTCATCTTGTTAATTCAGCTTCTCCCTTCCTGGGGATGGCCAGAGGGATGTTCACAGAGCTGAACTGGACTGCTCTAAAGTACAGGGACACGCTTTGAGTTTGGTGTCTGGCTTCTGCAGTCGTGTGATCATCACTGGATGTCCCTGCACAGCACTGCCGGGCGATGCGATTGCGTCAGGACATAAACCTTCAGGAGGCTCGTTTTATCAGTGAGTACTGGCAGCTTGTTTTTTCAGCCTTCTCTCTAAAGACTCCCTGAAATAAGCAGGGAGCATTGCA